ATGTCTTTGGCCTCAAGGCCACCCTGCAAAGCCAAGAAGGATATCTCTCGGATTGTGTCCTCCTGGTACATTAAAGAGCTTCAGGGTTTAGGGTTTATTTAGGGGCTTTACGGTTAGTCTATTAGGAGACCTCGTGACTAGATCCGGGGTATCTAAACGGGTAGGTTACAACGGGCCATAGCTGCAGCCGCTGCACATTTGCATCGTGACGATGCCCTACAGTTTGCAGCTGAGCTTGTGATCTTGGCATGTTCTCTCTGTCTGTTCCCAACACCCTATACCCTAAAGCCCTAAACCCAAAGTCCTGAGCGGATTCTATGCCATGACCTGGCGACCTCAGCAGCACCTCCCTGTACGTGTACAAGTTACTGCCGCACATGGCTGGAAACTCGGCAATCTCCGGGTTTAGGGTTTATACGGGTTTAGGGGTTTGAAAGTTTATAAGGTTGTAAGCAAAGGTTTAGGACAGTCTAGGGAATCTAGGGTGTCGTTTGATCGCATTTGAGGCTGAAGGGGTGTCTGATTAATGTCCTGGCCCTTGGCCGCCAAAATGAAGAAGCTCTGCCCTACCTTAATCCGAAACCCTACTTGGAGGTTCATGCGTAGTTATAAATGGGGCTATAAGCCCCCTAATAATATGGGGTATAGTGATTGTTACCACACTCATATTCCCACTTATAAGTGCCCATGAACCTCCAAGTAAGTCTTAGACCCGGCAACCCTAAACCACGGCCTCGTACCAGAGATCATCCAGATATCCTTGGTGGCCTCGCAGAGTTTTCCAGAAGCCCAAAACCCCACAACCTATCCAGGCCCTCAGTCACTTGGAACCCGAGAGTTCCCCTTCGAAGTATACTGAAATGGGGGTTTCCGAAAATAGGGGACCCTAATATAGTACCCTAAATAGTAGGATCCTTATTTTAAGGACCCTTAAATAAGGCACCCCTGCTTTCGGAAACTCCCTAATAGAGTTCGGGGTTGGGGGGGTAGGGTGCACGGGTTTCAGAAACATTCAAGTGCAGAACCCTTAAATCCTGTCAGTTTCACGATTGCCCCGCGACTTGAAACACAAGCACTGATGAGATTGATACGCATGCAACGATAAGAGAGGGGCGCCTTAACAATCAGAATAGGGTTTTGGACTATGGTAAACCATACTTGTAATAAGGACCCCTTTTTCAGTAGTATGGGTACTTACGACGGCCCCTAAAGTACTTTGCACAGTCTTTCTCTGATTCTTGCGCCAGCTGCGGGACAGCTTCATTTGTGCAGCCATGATAACACAAGCGAAACTGACATGCAAAAAGGGGCCTAGACAATACCAAATTCTAGTTTGGGAGTTCCTTACTATAGCTATAGTATAATGGACTCCCAAACATCATGTCAATGTCAATTTTCATTGTGGCTTATTGTCCCGGTAAGTGGCGTGCATTGATCGAACCTGATAGAAACCCAGCGGGAAAGAGTCTGTGGCGATTCGGGAACTCTGCTGTATCTACTTGCCTGAAGCTCAGCAAGCCCCTCTGCGAAGGCCTGCCCCTTACCCTCGCCTCCAGGCAAAATCTTTGCCCCCCAACCCTAAACCTTAAACCCTAAACCTTAAACCCTAAACCCTAAACCTTAAACCCTAAACCCTAACCCCATTTCTGCACGCCTATCCGTATCGCACGGAGAGCGAAGAGTCGGGCATAGAGGCGAATGTCCTGCGAAAAGCCTACGATGCCCAGTAACCTAGGAATAAAAAGGGCTCCCAATTTTTGAAATTGGGTAACTGTATAAGGAACCAAGGACTACAAAAAGGACATAAGGGTACTACTGGGCATCCTAGAAGCCGAAACTTCAACCAACCATGGTCTGTATGGAAGGCTCCAGGAACCTCGCAGACTACAGTTTAGGGTTTAGGGTGTAGGGGCGCCAGCTTCTGAATCTTCAAAAAGCTTTATAGTGTGTCCTCCCCTGGATCATCTTGTGACCTCTCGACCCCGACGGGCTCCGGCCTCGCCTACTCCGCTTATACAAGGGCCTTCATAATTAGACATTATGACAGAAATACAATAAGGCCCTGAACCCTAAACCCTACCCTAATCAGGCGTAGTACTACTTGACACGGACGCTAAGAGACTTGCAGCGGCAATCTGGGAAAGCCAGAACGACTTCGGCAACTTGACTTTGTTGGAGTTTGCGGCTAGTGGATATGTAGCTGGGTTGAGCTGGACACGAAGCAACATAACACCCTAAACCCTAAACCCCTAAATCCCTAAACCCTAAACCCCTAAATCCCTACATCCGTAAACCCTAAAACCTTAAACCCTACACCCTGACATTGACGCAGAAACCTGGGGTCCGTCCTTGAGCAAGACGCTCTTGCGCATCACCTGTAAAGGCCAGGAAACGTAACGCAGCAGCCTTACCTAGAGGCTCCATAGTAGTTCCTTTTTGGGGTTCATATTTAGAATCCTATAAGGTAATCCCAAAAGGAACTACTTTGGGGCCTATGGGTACTGATTAGAATAGGGGCTTGGTGTAGATTATGCTATAACTAGTATAAGGAACCGCCCAGAATAGTATACGTACTGATTAAGGCCCCTAAATCATAGAGCCAGTATCCGTTATAGTAACCCTTATATAGAGCACTTTAAAGGAACCCTCTAGTACTTATTTTAAGGCCCGCTATAATACGAAACTCGAACGTGATTCCCTGCCGGGCCGTTAGGACGTCCGCTGGTGGGGCGGGCTCTGGAGGCTTGCAATACCAATATCCCAAGGGTCCAAAGGACCCAATAATCAGGTACTTGGGTTTAGGAAAGTAGTTATGTAGGTTAACATTTGGGAGAGTATATGATTATTGGGTACTTGGACCCTTACGGCTAATGCAGGAATACCTAGGGCTCCTTTAGAGGATCTATAGGGTCTGTTTTGTAGGGGATTCGAAAATCCCTTAATTGAGGAATATACCTTAAATATTACTGGGGATCCCTAGTATGGTTTAAAGTACATTCCTTAATCAAGGGATATTGGAGTCTCTGGGTTCAATGGTTTGCTAGAGGCATCGAAGCAGCACACCAAGAGGGATTCAGAAATCTCCCGTGCTCTACGACTCTACCAGAAGCTGGCTACCATTGCCTCACAACAACTACAATGCTATATCACTCCTCATAGCAACTTTAAGAACATGTGTGACAACGATGCACTTAAGCATGAAATACTAGAACACTGCATTCCCGTTAACACTAGCAGTTGCCAGAAATCAATGAATGCTAGAAGTAGCAGCACCAGTGATCACTAACAGGAACAACAGCAACACGCATCTCAACGCCAGTGGCAATGCATAGCAACGTAGCATGAGGACTGCCACTTACATATTGTCTCTGAAGCCTTAGCAATGAGAAGTTTTTCGAATGCATACGCACAGAGCCAGCTGCAAGACAAACCTGCCCCCCTGTCGCTGGCTCGAAAGGCCCACCTCCTGGAAAAGATCTGTGTCCACACACAGCAAATCTGTCATCACCTGAGTCGCACCGAACTGCACCACGTGCTTTCGAGCGATACTAAGAAGCCTTCTCCGAATCGAATCTAAGCAGAACTCCCGGCCTAAAAGGGGCGATGCAGGGTTCCAGTATGCGTTGTATTCGGGTTTTGTCAGGTTTGTGATCCATCATGGCAGTGGGATGTTATTACGATTTGGGAGTTTCCGAAAATAGGGGACCCTAATATAGTACCCTAAATAGCAGGATCCTTATTATAAGGACCCCAAAATAAGGTACCCCTAATTGTCGGAAACCCCCCATCTGTTCAGGATCCGGCCCTGCTCAGTCCCAAACAGCTCTGCTGTCTTCCGTTCTAGGGTTTGGGGTTTAGGGATTATCCCAACCATGAGTTCGTAAGAAGACAGTACAAAGAAAGCAGGTCGTTCAACAAACCCGGTTTAGACAATCAGATACACATGAAACACATTAAACAAAACTGACCGCACCCCAAACTCTAGCATGTTTCGTATAGTACAGCTTTAACACCTTAGTATATAGCTCCAGTTCAGGATGGTCAAGTGTAGTGTAGTGTAGGGTTTAGGGTTTAGGGTCTAGTAGAGTGTCGGTATAGTATAGTGAGCACAGTATAGTGTATCTTACAGCTCCAATGCCGCAGGGGCCTTCTGTGCGCCTCTCGGAAACTACTTGGAGGCTCATGGGGTAGTTTTAAGTAGTGTTGTAAGCCCCCTAATATGGGCTATAACTATAGTTACCCCACTTGTAATCCAACTTATAGTTACCCATGAACCTCCAAGTAGGACTGCCAAGCCACCGCCTCACCGTAGAGCCGCCCGCGGTGAACCCAATCAAGCCAAACGGCCACCTTTAGGGGTTTGGGGTTTTAGGGTTTAGGGTTTGGGGTTTAGGTCATTTGGGGTTCAGGGCTTAGGGTTTAGGGTTCTAGGGTTTCGGGTCTGGAGGTTGGGGTTATATAGATTCGGGGAAAGTTTAGGGTTTAGGGGCTCTGTGGTAAGGAGTAGCAGTAGCAGGAGTCGTGGCACCAGGTGCCAGGTTGTAAGTACTAGGTCACAGTATAAGGTGGCAGGTGGTCGCACGCAACAGGTAGTACATGATCGTACGTGGTGGTCGTTGCGGTGGTGGTCGTCGTCCTTGTCGTGTCGTCGTAGCAGTAGCAGTCGCAGTCGCAGTCGCAGCTGCAGTAGCAGTAGCAGTAGCAGCGGTGGTAGCAGTTGAAGTAAGCACTAGAAGTACGAGCAGTAGCAGGGGCAGAAGTACAGTAGTAGCGGTACAAGCATTAGTAGCAGTAGCAGTGCTTAGCAGTAGCAGTAGGAACGCGAGCAGGAGCAGGAGTAGCAGCATCAGTAGCAGCAGCAACAGGAGTAGTAGTAGCAGTAGTAGTAGTAGTAGTAGTAGTAGCAGCATTTGTAGAAGTGAAAGCAAACGCGGCAGTGACTAGTTGTGGTAGCATGCGAAGCCAGGACCACACCTCACCCCTCACCAGGGCCAACAGTCTCAAGCCGCAGCACACTGGTCGCCAGAATGACCTGAAGCCCTGAATACAAGTGTTTGTTGGTTTAGTGATTTGGGGTTAAGAGTTCCAGGTGTCTTCAGATCTGGGAACATGAAGTTCAGCAGCACCTCCGACACCACTGTGCCACTAGAGATGATGCTGGCCAAGTTGTTCTCTTTCAAGTTGAGCCACTCCTGTTCCAGGCATTTGATGAGCGGGTTTCAGGTCGGCAAATGGCGAATCTTTACTCGTACCAATGCTTCCGTGCCAGGTGGCGAATTGCAGTGGTTGCAGCTCAGAATGCCACACGCCGATAACTAAATGGATAGAAGGCAAATTAGACCGCATGGAAGAAGACCCCTAAACCGAAGACCCTTTCAATTCAACTCCTGCGAATCTGTCGGGTCGAACAAGTCGTCCATGCCGAGTGCGTATGCCAGCTTGCCATGGTTGACGACGTACATGGCAGCTCCTCTGTCTGGTTCTTAGTACTTCGAGGATCATGGGACTTCGTAAGTAAGGATATAAGTACTTTAATTGTGGTTATAAGTAGTTATAAGTATAACTACCCTAATTATAACCCTAGTTACTACGTCCCATGATCCTTTAAGTAACTGCATACACGGCCGCGCACAGCTTGTCGCAGCAGATTCAGATGACAACAACATCTGCACTCCAAACTGCAGCTTCAAGCTTAGTGAAGAAACCGCGCCTTTCTCGCCAACCTTGAACACGTCATGGCCCCTGTCCACCGACTGCTCCACTATGCATGTGTTGCCTTGTGCAGCGGAACCATTGGGGAAGAGTCTAATGTACGGGCCCAAATAATAATTAGCAATGCTATTTTGGGTTTCCTTATTATAGCTATAGTATAATGGGCCCCAAAACCCTATTCTGATTATTAAGGCCCACATATTACCTTAGGCACTGCATCGGCGTTGCAGGAAGCCGGCACATACTGCCATGAGAGGCTTTCTAACACCAACTTGCTCTTGCGAGGGGAGGTTTCAAAGGTAAAGGCCTGAAGGTATAAGGTTTAGGGTCTCAGGGTTTAGGGGCTTTGGGGTTTAGGGCTTTCGTGCCACCCTGACGTACAAAATGCATACGTCGCTGCATACACGAGAGAAGGTGTCCCGGTCGTTGTTGTAGACGCACTGGAAAAGGCTGTGCTTCCCCAGCACCTTCGGAAACATAATGTAGGGGCCTTAATAATTAGAATAGGGTTTTGGGGCCCATTATACTGGAGCTATAATAAGGAAGCCCCACAAGAATATAGGTAGTTATTTAGGCCTCTCTGGTAAGTGCCAGACGTCTGGTCTGTTCTGGCTTGGAGCACGATTTCTTGTTGGACTTGCTTGCAGCTTGCAGAATGTTGTGGAACCATCACACACTTGAAGGAGCACCCTCCTGCGGAAAAGTCTTCTATTCTAGCAACGAATCTCACCACGGCACGAAGTAATGGGCTTCAGTTCGAATCTTCTGCAGCAGCACCTGAGCTGCGCTCTGCGGAAGCAGACCAAGTAACAAATGAACCGGCCGCGACGGCCCCCTGGTTCGTTCTAGCCACTGGAATATATATATATATATATATATATAGGTCTTAATGTTTGAAATGATGTTTAAGGTAAGGTATAATTTGTCTCCAATATTTATAATAAGGAACTAGGTTTGGTATTTTTTTGGCCCCCATATTTGCCATCACTGCAGTTCTGCTGGATCACAGATGGGAATGTCGCGAAGATCTCGATGTCGCTAACCTGACCGAAATCGAGCTCATTCACTGCACTCCAACCGCACGTTCCTGCGCAACACAGTCCACCTGCCCGACATCTTGAATCCAGCCCCGAAATTCGAGCTACTCTGCCGCTCTGCACTATGATTCTCTTTCTGGTCGCTTAGATACCCTGTTGGTATACGCGATACATTCGGATCCACAAAGGTACCAAGGCCCCAACCAGTTCGCCGAAACTGGCACTCAAGCAAACAATTCCACGCCTTCAGCGGCCGCTGGGCCAAAGGACTTTTCCTTTGCCTCATTGGGTAATAATAGTAATAATCGTAATAATAGTAATAATGGGTAATAATAGAAATAATGTCGATGCTTGTCGGGTTGAGGTTCATGGCTTGAGGGCTTTCGGGTTTAGGGTTTGAGGGTTGAGGGTTTAGGGTTTGAGGGTTTAGGGTTTAGGGTTTAGGGTTTAGGAGTCAAGCAAGCGAACCACGCTGCCAAGCAATTTCTGCTCCCCAAGCTGACCTGGTTTAGGGGTTCAGGGGTTCAGGGGCTGGGGTGATGACCCAAACCTTCAACACGGCTTCTGCTCAGCCCTGTACCGGACGAAGTCCACGATGGTAGTCGCCAGGGCGACGCTCATCTTGTTCTCCTTGGTGGTGGGATGTTGCCGCAATTTCGGATCCCCAGTTTCCACTGTTGCACAAAGCAAACACAGAAACAAACGAACAAACACACACACACACACAAACCCTCTCTCTGTTGTTATTTTCTTTTCTATCTCTCTCTCTCTCTCTCTGTGTCTCTCTCTCTCTCTCTCTCTCTCTCTGAAGACTCTGAAGAGTGAGCGTGACCTCAGCCGGCTTAGCAAGCGAGAATTGAAGTCTGCAGCTCCTGGGGTTGAACGAGTTTAGAGCTGCAGCTCTCGGGATTAAGCTCTGCACCATTGAAGAGATCAAGACCCTGGCGACAGAAGGTATCAGGTATTCCAAGAAGCAGAGATGAACCGTCGAAGTACTTGCATCTTGTGGCCTTGGTAGCTCTTCGAGCTTGAATCGTTGCTGGGTGCTGCAGACCAGTTGGCTAGCAAAACTTAACGCCCTAAACCCTAAAATAGATACCCACCAAACCCCCCCTCAGCCCTACGCCCTAAGATCCTACTGCATCCAGTCTTGTACGAAGACCTCAAACGGCGGAACGAAGATAGGCGGGACTGAGGATGCGGACTGTTACCAGTATGATTCAGTATGACTGTCATTACGTATCGTGGGCGGTATAGTAATACTGTTTTTTGTGTCTTCTCCTTACATACGCACATCCCAAGTTCGACATACGGAGAGCCTTCTTATAGCATGCACCTTTGCGGCGGCAAAGAAGAGGCTTGAAAGTACGCTAATGTAGTTCCTGGAGCACGTGCGAGGAGTCGAGCGGAGAAGGGGTGCCCGTGCCTGACCTTCTTGTGGTCATCTGGCGAACTGTTGCCCTGTGGTAGTATTTGTCCCTCGCTCTCTTGTAATTTGGATATATAGTTGCTACTTTATCTGCTGCTACTATCTACTGCTACTCTTATCTTTATAGAGCCTTTAGTGTTAGTAGGCTTGCAATTATTGCTATCACCGCTGCCTTCGGCTCTTGCCGTTAAACTGAAACTCGAAGCTTCTGGCATCATTACTTAAAGGATCATGGGACTTAGTAACTGGGGTTATAATTAGGGTAACTATACTTATAACCACTTATATCCCCAATTAAGGTACTTGTAATACCTTACTTACTAAGTCCCATGATCCTCCAAGTACTTATTGGGAGTTTCCGAAAGTAGGGGACCCTAATCAAGTACCCTAAATAGAAGGCTCCTGATTATAAGCACCCCCAAATAAGGTGCCCCTAGTTTTCGGAAACTCCCAAAACACCCTACACCCCAAATAAACACTAAACCCTGCATTTTTGGGTCGTTGTCAAAATTAGGGTACCTTTTTGGGTCCTTGTTATGATTCGGCACCTAATATTTAGGGTACCCAAAAAAGGACCCTAATTTTGATAACTACCCATATATTCAAAGGGGAAAAGGAGGGACCCTTAATAAGGACCCCTAGGTATATACCCTTAATATAGCTATTATATACCCATTATATCGCCCATTTTTGGGTAAGGGTCCCCATTAAGGGTCCCTCCTTTTCCCCTTTGATATATCTAAGCACAGCTCTTGATCTGACATTTAAACCCTACAGCAGAAGCCAGAAAGTTGGAATATCATTATCGTAACCTTTAGGGGTTCAGGGTTTAGGGGTCTAGGGGGTTTAGGGTTTAGGGTTTAGGGGTTTAGGGTAAATTATAGGGGATCCTACCATTAATCCATATTCCAACTTTCTGGAGTTCCCTTTAAGTATCTTTAAGTACCACCCTTCGCGCTGAAGCTTAACCCCTACTCACCCTAAGCATATCTAAGTATAACCCGGAATGCTAAGGCTTAACCCTAAGCCCCGGAACTGTTTCTGTCTGAAAACACCCCAAAATAGGAGTTTCCGAAAACAGGGGACTCTAATGTAGTACCCTAAACAGTAGGATCCTTATTAAAAGGAATATAAACTGTAAGGTATCCCTATTTTTGGAAACTCTCAAATCGAGACGAGGAGCGATCTGCTTTGGAGAGCTGCTGCAAAGCCGCGAGCTGTTGGGCCATTGAGCTGATGAAGGAAGAAAAGACACAAAGCCTGGGATTTAGGGTTTAGAGGTTTAGGGGTTTAGGGGTTTAGGGTTTAGGGGTTTAGGGGTTCAGGGTTTAGGGTTTAGGCTTTGGGGGTTCATGGGTTTCGGGCTTTGAGTAGAAGAAGACACAAAGCCTGGGCTTAGGGTTTAGGGTTCAGGGAAGGCCGAAAAGACACAAAGCCTGGGACGCTGTACACCCTAAACACTGATGAGCCCTGAACCCTAAAGCCCAGTGAAGGAACAAGACACGAAGTCTCGGAGGAACTTAGAAAGCTTAGGGTTCTTCAGGTTAAAAGGGCTTATGTGTTTGAGTTGATGTCCTGGAGTTTAGGTTAATTGTAGGGCTTAAGGCTCTCGGACATGGGGGTCGAGTCTCAGAAGGGGCTCCTGCCGAGACACAAAGCCTTGGACTTAGGGTTTTCTTTGTGACGAACGGGCTTAGAGGCCTGGAGGGGCCTGGGGCATTGAAGGTTTCGGGTTTAGGGTTGGTTCAGGGCTGACCGTGTCAGGGTTTAGGGTTTCTGGGTTTAGGGTTGGTTCAGAGCATGTGGGCTTCCGGCTTGAGGCGGCAGACTCCATGAGCCTGCCGCTTCGGAGACAGATCCCGACAGCTTCCAAGCCGCCCGAAGAGAATCACTGCAATGTTGAAGATTCGCTCACGCGCTGACTGAGGATATATTTCCTCGGCTCAGAAAGCAAACACTTCAGGCGTCTTGAATTCAAATCGTGCCGTGTTTCTTGGAAAAGACAAGCAGCAGTAGACGACGCAGTAGCAGTAGCAGCGGCAGTAGCAGCAGCAGCAGCAGTAGTAGCAGCAGCAGCAGCGACAGGAGCAGGAGCAGGAGCAGGAGCAGTAGTAGTAGCAGTAGTAGTAGAAGAAGTAGTAGCAGCAGTAGTAGCAGTAGTAGTCGTCGTCGTCGTAGTAGTAGTAGTAGTAGTACTACTAGTACTACTACGACTACGACTACGGCTACTGCTGATATGTCTGGAATTTCCATGAGAAGCAACTGTTAGTGTTACTTCTAGTAACACCAGCGTTCTTGTTATGTCATGATCGGTTGGAGCAACATCCTCCCTGTCACACTGTATAATCTCGCAAACCTTCTCGGCCTTCGATCGCAATTCTGGAGCCTCCAATCTCATGTCCTTTAGCAGCTCGCGCAGATAGACTCCACTTGTATGTCTGTTTGGGGTCCTTATAACAAGGATCCTTCTATTTAGGGTACTATATTAGCGTCCCCTATTATCGGAAACTCCCATGTAAAATCTGGGTAATATGAAGACACAACACCTCCCCGGCAGGAACATGCGGAATGCCTTGAACATTTGATCACAGCTGCCATGGACGCTGGCGTAAGCTGCGTGATCGACCAGTGGTATGCCTCGGCTTGCCCGGATTCCGAAAAGTTAAGTTTTAGTTTGCGGTTCGTGACGAGCCTGACGCCCCCCGCCCCCCCCCCCCCCTCCCCCCCCTGCCCCCCGCCCCCCCACAGGGCGCGCGCGACGGACCTGACAAAAAACTTCCACTAAAAAACATCGGCTTGATAGCCCAAAAACAACTGGTCTTGTGGCAGCCGGCGGCTGTGCCACGTTTGTCAGGCTTCAAAAGAAACCTCTTATGTTCAGATGAATCTACTTGGAGGGTCATGGGACTTAGCAAGTAATGTTGTAAGTACCTTAATTGGGGTTATAAGAAATTATACATAAAAGTATAGTTGCCCTAATTATAACCCTAGTTACTAAGTCCCATGATCCTATAAGCAATCTATCGGATATCGATTCTATCAGCGTTTCTGCGAAAACGCTTAGCCGCGGCCCCGGAGCCAAGGGCCCTTGGCTCTGGGTCTGCGCCTGCTGTCCGATAATAGTAACTATAGTAATAGTAATAATAAACATAATAATAGCAGTAATAATAATCATAGTCATAATAATAACATAGCGACAGTAATAATAAAACTAATAATAGCTGCAATAATAATGATAGCAATAATAATAGCAATAATGATAAGCACAACCTACCAGTAATGAAAATGAGGAGCATGCTCTGAGGTGGCGCCCGACTGGAAAACTGAAGCGCAATGCAAAGGCGGCTCAACTGCAATGGAGTTGATGTCAATTTGTATGCAGATTTTGATTGAACTTACGACTTACGAAATCTGGGCAATGCCGTGATTGAGAATCCGAATTTGGCTGCAAGGAACAGGACGCTGAGATTTATGCCACGCATGCCTCAGGACAGCTGGCGGCTTTCGCTTTGAAACTAGATGGAACAGCGTCGAACAAAACACCCTCACCATCTTGATCGTTTCATTGTCCTAAACTCCCAGGAACACCAGAAACCCTAGCAAAATCGAGGGGCCGTGGTGTAGAGGTAGAGCAGCGAGTCTGGCTTGCGGATGTCTCCGGACTCCCTGAAATGAGCCATGACCCAGTTGTTGTCATCATTCAAGATGGTGCCCACCGCGTACCATGTACATGCCTGAGTAGGATTTGGGTATTAAGGCTTGGGGTTTAGGATTTTGGGGTTTGGAGTTTGGCGCTTGTAGGGTCTGCGGGAACCTTCTGGTATGCGTCTGATCAGACCGTGCTTATCAGCGATGACTGGTGCACCTACAGAAGACTTGGCCCATTTTATGCAGTGTCCAACTGCAATGGAGCTCATCAAAGCTAACTAATTAAAGGGGTCTGAATACAACAGTATCCCCTTATAGCTCCAAAGGCCCTACATAGCTAAGGCAATATACCCGAAAACCCTATTCCGACAATCAAGGGCTGCTTGGCTATTAACTGGAAGCCAGGCTGCCGTGAAGTGGTTGATAACAGTGACGGCCAGAAGGCTCTTGGCAATGTTCAAGATCAGAAGCCCCCGATCTGTTATATGCCTCAGCTCCGCGGGGGAACAGAGAGAATCGTGCTCAGGAAGGAGGTCTGGCTGATAAGGATCTGGCCATGCCTTTTGAAACAGTTTCTTTGGGATCGAATATGATCGGCATCGCCGAAGGTGATGTCGAAGGAAGTACACTGCTTCCCACGGGGCAAGGGGAAGATACACGGGAACGGCACCTCTGCAATTGGCTGCCGGGGAAACAGTCAGCATTACGAAACATCGGGGCCCTGCTATCCCGGTTGAAACCCCAAACCCTGAACCCCCGTCAAATGTTAGACACCTTCAGACTGTCGCATGAAGTCTGTTCGTGTTGACCTTGAGCTGCAGCCGCAGTGGCTGAGTCTGCATGATGTGGAACAGCTGCGCTAGAACAGCGATACGGGCCTCGCCACATGAAGCAGAAGCTACATTCAGAACATCTCACCCATCACCCAGCTAGCAGCATCTGCCGCAGCATTCCGAAAGGACAGCTTCCACTTCAGCGCGGTTAGTTAGTTCCGCTTCAGAAGATGTCACGAAAGGGCACTCCTACCCGTGCTTTATGATATAGGGACCTAAATAGTTACCAATAACTACTACTTTGGGGATTCTTTATTATAGTTCTAGTATAACGGGTCTCAAAACAAGGCTCTATTTATTACGACCCCGATATTACTTATCAAACAGGCGATGTCAAACTTTATAGGGCTTATAGGAGTTGGGGTTTAGGGATTGGGGTGTTAAGGCTTGGGCGGCTCACGTTATCTGCGAACATGTCTACATGGCTCGCATCCGCAGTATGCCCCATGCGACATGTATCAAGTGAGCAGACTGACACGAGCCTCGTGGTAAGATTAAGAAGTACTACGAACAATAACCGTACTGTTCATTACCATTCTTATGGAAATGGTTGTTATTCTTATTGTTCTTGCTGTTGTTATGATGATGGTGAATATTATATATATATATATATATTACTGTTATTGGTATTCTTAACAGTTATTGTGATTTTTCGTTCTTATGACTATATTGATAGCTGTGCACACAGTCGAAGCTGCCTTTATTTTCGCCAGTCTCAAGACGCGCAGAAGCCGGAAGAGCCGGATAATCCGGAAGAAGCTCATGTACCTGAGGTTCAGGGTTTAGGGTTCAGGGTTTAGCCCGGGCGGCCCTCGTGTTCATTGGTAGTTCTGATGGTATGACTTGACTATAGCTATAACCATGATCAGAGTCGCTGAATCATATACATATCTATATATATATATATTCTATACACATATGATATCAAAACACAGAAGCAAATCACATACTCATAGTGATACGCATCATCATCGACAGCACCACCACCGCAGTCGCACAAACCACTTTGGTCATAGAAACATCACGGTGGATCTGAAACGTACTGAAGCGAAGAACGGAAGAGCGCACATAAACCGGTGCGTGCGGCTGAGCGCAATACGGGAGACCCAGTATCCCGGTTGCCGTTGCAGCCTAGATGCCGTACCCACGTCGTATCTTCGATGACGAAGATAAACATGTCCTTGGCATCGCTTCTCACTTGTCGGTAGCGGCAGAACCTAATGTGTGCCCTGACAGGGGTGGCAGGGGTTCAACAAGCTCAACGCAACTAAGTGTGTGTACAACAGATGGCTCATCGTGATTTACTGAAGGTGGCCGATTGGAAGGCAGCAGATTTGCTGGTTTCTGGTATGAACAGACTTACTCACTGGCTAGGGAATAAAAGCTGAAACTTTCAGAATCGACTACCTTATAAGAAACCCCAAAAGTCGAAAAGTTGAGTTCGCAGCCAATAAGCTTCACACGACCTACTCTAAGGCCGTGGCCAGGCAGACCAGCGTGAAATCGAAGACGAACCAAGTCCGCAAGTAGTTGCGAGAGGTGGCACCAAGATGTCTCTCCTGGGCAGAACTGCTTCGCATTGACAGTAAGCATGACATTCCCCTTTAGTTAGCCCGTTTACAGCCTTAGCCCCATATGTACAACATCCCACAAAACTTCTTAAGTTTCGTATTGCACCATATGAAGCCATACTTGTTTTGATAAGGCCTTTGATTTTATGCTCGAAGCCGCACCAAGCCCCGCAGTCTGGAGATTGTAGTGCATGGTTTTATCTCAAGCTGAGCTAAAAAGTCTCTTCTATCGTCACCATCATCTGCGTCCGGTTTAAGGCTTCTTGCGTTCTGGGTGTGCAACTTGATGTGGTTTAGGGCTTAAGGGATTCTTGGGTTAAGGGTCTTCATCATTCTCACAATAGTTGTTTGTGGTGTTGCGGCTGCCGTCGTTGTCGCCTTTATCATCTTGCCTTGCGAAGTAATCAGGGTCGTTCAGACTAGACACTTGCAGGTTCAGCTGTGCTGTTATGCAGTGCCCTTTCAGTCAAGACCGAAATCAGGAATCAAACGCCAAGTTCTCAGCCCAAGAGCCCCGACCCTGCACGAAGCCCTGAGCCCGAACTGCTTTACATCATACTCCCGTCCTCGGTACCATTCAGCTTTCCGTACGTCCTTGCAAAGGACCTCCGACTCGCAAGCGGTAATCCATCGAGAGGCAGTCATGGTATTGGAAAGGGTTTAGGACACTTAGTAGTAGACCCAAGCGCAGCATGATCCTTAGAACCACGACATTGGCAAGGGGCAAACATGAACAGTATTTACAAACGAAGAAGCAAAACGAGACATGGAACGCTATAGTGGTGAACAATCACCGAAGGGCGAGAGCGAACACCAGCAAGGAGCCAACAAGAAGCAAGCAAGCAACGTCGTAGAACCCACGAAACGTGCAAGCAAGCAAGTGAAAGACACACAACCACAGTGAATGACAAACACACAAGTCGCGAATAAGAAGAAAGACAACGGAATGATATGCCTTCATGAACAGACGACGGCACCTGGACTTACCCGCGATTAGATGAAACATTGGGCCGGCAAGTGAGGAACAGCCGAGCGCCTCCACCCTTATGTCCACAACACAAACCCCTGCCCAGCCCCTCCCAGCCCATGCTCACCAAGCACCTAGACCGATAAACCCGCCCACGTAAACCTGCAGCAGCAAGTTAACTATTGCGCTGCAATATGCACAAAAACCCTGAACCCTAAAACCCTCTTCTGGGGCCAGCCCCCAAACCCTAAACCCTCAAACCCCTCTTTGGGGCCAGGCCCTAAACTTACTACCCCAATAAGCCACAGGCATAAAAGGCTATAAACTTTCCGATCCCTACTGAACTACAAGATCCCAAAACGTTTAAAGGTCACTCAAACCCCTGTAATCCCTAAACTCTCAAACCCTCTAAACCTTAAACCAAACCCCCCCTAAACCCTAAACCCTAAAACCCCGTCAACCCTAGAACCCCTCTAAACCCTAAACCTCTCAAACCCTCGAACCCCTCCAAACCCTCAACCCTAAAACCCCTCAAAAAACCCCAAACCCTAACACCCCCTAAGCACTAAAACACCACTAAACCCAAAACCCCTACACCCCCCAAACCCTAAACCCTAAACCCTAAACCCCCCCTCTTTGGGGCCAGGCAAGATCATATCCATCAGCCAAGTGATCGAAGAGGTTCTTTCCAGAATGCGCAGGACCTTGGGAAAGCTGGTCCGGACAGAAAGGGCTTAGGGCTTTGGAGTTTAGGGTTTAGGGTTTTAGGATTTAGGGTTTAGGGTTTATGGATTTAGAGTTTAGGGTTCAGGGTTTTAGGGTTTAGAATTTAGGGTTTGGGGTTTTAGGGTTTAGGCGTTTAGGGTTTTGGATAACGTGAGGTAGCCGGGTTTGGGGCATTTTGGCTTTAGGGGCTTCGGGGCAGAATCTATCTAGTGGTCGAGGTGCACCCTTCCCTGTCTTTATGACCACGAAGTTTCTTCGAGGTGTCGATTTCAGCAGTCCCCCAAAATCATTCATAATTAGGGCTCTACATTGAACAAGAAGGCACGTTGAAAACGATACCAAGCCGATACCTCGTACTAGTTATCCATGGTCATGTGGGGGTTTCCGAAATTTAGGGGTACCTTATTTGGGGTCCTGGGGTGTCCAGGGCCTGCAGCTGCTTGGTTTTCTTTGGTGCTTGGCTCTTCGACTTTGCAGCCTGATATAGGGGCCTTAATCGTTAGAATAGGTTTCCTTTAAAGGGGTCTAGTCTATAATCTATAAGGGTTCCTATAAGGTTATAAGGGATCTATAGGGGTACTATAGTATAGGGGCATTAATAACTAGAATAGGGTTTTGGGGCCCATTATACTATGCAGATAATAAGGAACCCCCCCAAAATAGCATAGGTAATGATTTAGGCCCCTATAGTAAGCCATTTAAGCACTCACATCGACTTGCACAGAACCTTAAACGGCTTCTCCAAGATTGCCGCAGGGGGAGAAGTTGCTGCGGCCTGGCTACTGCTTAATTAATGAAGTGCAGTCGTCGAGGGTCCTCATCAGAAAGATCCCTCAATAGTAAAAGCCAGAAAGTTGGAATATGATTATCCTGACCCTTCTATGGTAAATTATAGGGTATCCTACCATGAAACCATATTCCAACTTTCTGGAGTTCCCTGTACTGAGGGTCTGTATTTGGGCCTCGTATTTTCAGAAACTCCCAATATGGCCCTCATCGTAGGCCTGATTCTCGCTGACATTGATGTCGAAAGCATCCATGGGGGTCATGACCTGGCGCAGGGGATTCTCACAGCATATCAAGTGTTGACGGTCGGAGGCTGCGAACATCTGGATATGCTTCTCGGATTGTGGAGCCCCGCGGAACCCTCGACTAGACAACATCTGCTGCTCTGACAAGCTTTGAAGCTCGCATCCGCTTAAATGTGCACTTGAAACCAACTCTCACTCGCAACTCAAGGTTAGCGCATGCTGTGCCAGCAGACCCGCAAGCTGCGGACGAGGTGCCATGTCGTAGCCGATGGCAATCGATGTCCACATGTCCCAGATGATGCAAATCGGTGACTTGTGCGAGATCGTGAAATCTGGGCACGTGGAAAGGAGCTTGGAAGCTTGCGGTCTTGTGGAAGGCAGTTGGACGTTCATGTGCGGGTACATCTATGAATCAGTATATACAACTGCAGTATGCATGTACACATACATGTATGCAGAAAACTGTGTGTATCTATACTATATGGATAGAGACATGTATGGATATATGTATGTATTTCTGAACGTATGTGCGTATGAATGAATGTATGTATGCAATGTTGCATGTATGTATGTGTACATATATATGTATATGCAGGTAGACATCAGGAAAATATGGAACGTGTACACTTATCCTGGACAGGCGAACACTTACTTTGCTGGGAAAGTGAACACTTATCATGGCCCGGTGAACACTCATTTTGCTGGGAAAGCAAAATCTTATCCTGGCCCCGTGAACAGGGAACGTGAACACTTATCCTGGTCCGGTGAACACTTAATGCTGGGACAGTGAACACATATCTTGGCCCGGTGAGCACTTATTTTGGTGGGAAAGTCAACGTGGCCAGGATAAGTGCTGACTTTCCCACCAAAATAATCCAAAATAAGTGTTCACCTGGCCAGGATAAGAGTTCACGTTCCCACCAAAACAAGTGCTCACCGGGCCAGGATACATGTTCACTCCCACCAAAATAAGTGTTCACCGGGCCAGGATAAGTGTTCACGTTCCCACCAAGAAAAGTGTTCACCTGGCCAGGATAAGTGTTCACTTTCCCGGCAATAAGTGTTCAGACTGTTTACTTTCCCAGCAAAATAAGTGTTCACCGGGCCAGGATAAGTGTTCACTTTCACTTTCCCACCAAAGTCATTGTTCACCAAGTGTTCACTTTCCCGGCAAAGTAAGTGGTCACTGGGCCCGGATAAGTGTTCAAAACCATACCGAATCATAACCGAAATAAGCCAGGACATCCGGTCTAAAGAGGGGGGCCGCTTTACTGTTAGAGAAACTTTTTTAGATACATATGTATATGTATACATAGCAATTATACATTGACAATAAACCTTTCATTGACTTATGCAGACATGTGTGTATGAGTACATGTGTATGTATGTACATGTATGTATGTATATATATATATACATATATATATATATATATATATATGCACGCAGTTATGTACAAACATGTATGCTCACCTAGACATACCGACCAACCCATCTACCGACCCACCAACCTACGGTGCGGACCTATCTACCTACGTACTGACAGGCATATACTCAGACAGACACACAGACACAGACAAGGACACAGACACAGACGGACAGACAGACAGACAGACAAACAGACGGACAGACAGACAGACAGACAGACAGACGAACGGACGGAAGGACGGACAGGCAAACAGTGTAAGGTAGAAATTCAGACACGCATCGCGAACCCTTTCCTTACTCTCGCTCTCCCTCCTCTACACACATACATCCACATACACGTATATATATATATATATATATATGTGTATATTGTACACACACAGAAATCAGAACGAACTGTAACTGCAATTACGATCACCGCTATACAAAGACCCTGAGGCATGACAACAGCATGATGACGCAATAGCAGGACGAACGCCCATGAACCAAAGTACAACTCGTAGTGACCGTGATAAGCTATACGAGGTTCAAACTTGTCGCCACAGAGAGTCATCCAAGCACAGAGCGGAGCGTTCTGCACTTCATGGTGTCGAGAACATCGCATCTTTTAGTGGACCTCTGTCTAGAATGCACCACCACTGCTACGTCTCTACCGCGACGCATCTACTAGGACGATCACTAATTGGAGACATGGTTCATGAAAAACGAGCAGCGACAAATGGCGACAACAACCCAATTGAGTTGTGCATGCCAAGTGGCTGTCATACCACTTGAGAGGTGCATCCTCTTCCTTTCACCACGCACTAAGTTTACCCCATGTCCTACTGTTCGAGCTTGATCATCCTGATCGGGAGACCCCGGAAAAGACAGATTTTACGGTGCGAGGGTACTAGCCCTAAACCCTAAACCCCCAAACCTTTTGCTGGGTGATCTAGCGAGCCGAATGCTGTTATATGTCAATCAGAAACTTTTGAGACGCAAATTTCTCCGTGAATCCTGCTTGGCGAAGGGGTTCAGGGGGTTTAGGATGAAGTCTGTGTGCCCTTGTGACGTGTGGCGACTGTTCGCTCCTTCCTTCTGCTCTATCCTGAGTAGAGAGTACCTTGCTGTTCATCTGCACATCGCTGATGTGTCTCGCTGTACCTCTCCGTTGTCTCCCGAATCTCTTTCCAAACTTGTCACGGAGCGTCTGCTTCAGTGCTGTATGCCGGCTCACTGAACCCTTTGACGTATCTGAGATCACAATCTTGGAGGTCCACGGGTAGTTATACATGGGTTATAAGTCCCCTAATATCAGTTATATAAGTATAGTTACCCTACCTATGACCCGACTTATAGCTGCCCATGAACCTCCAAGATCGTTCTTTATCAGGAGGCGCATAGCATACCCGCAGCCGTCTCATCTGTTACGCCGCGATATGCTGACAGCTAGCTGATGGACTGTAGAGGTCCTTTTAAGGGGTCTATAAGGGATCTATGATAGGGTGCCATGATCTAGGGGGCTTATGATTAGAATAGGGTGTTGGGTCTATCTAGCTTCTACCGTTTGATTCGATGCCCCGACAGAACTTCTGAAAGCTTTTCTGCCGCTTCCAAAAACACTTCAGCATGCCCAGGCCTCATCCCGATGGTAATACAGAAGCCGGAAACATCGCTACTGCCGTTGCGCCGTTGCTCAGGGTCAGTCGTTATAGCCAGAGTATCATGAACCTCAAGACCCTATGAATTAATTCAGGCCCCTTCTGTAGCCATCACCAGCTTTTCAAACAAGAAAAGCCAAGTGTCTCCCTTGGATCGCTGCTTTCGCAAAGACAGCTCCTCCGAGGAGGCCGGAGTTCCACATGGGAGTTTCCGAAAATTAGGGGGTACCTTATTTCAGGGTCCTTATAACAAGGATCCTACTATTTGGGGTCTTATATTAGGGTCCCCTATTTTCGGAAACCTCCACATGCTTCGGGATAAGAAAGAAATAGCTCAATACGTATCTACTGAGGCTCTTGAAACACCCTGCATTACCCGGCGGAAGGCGAGTGACCTCTTTAAAACTATCCGTCAGGTCAGAGCAGACCCTTTCGTCCATGAGCCCGACTCACCTCCCTCTGGAACAGCCCTACAGCCTTCAGCTCAAAAAACCCACCTTGAATCCTAAACCCCAAACCCCTCAGACCCTAAACCCTAAAACCCTAAACCCCAAACCCCCCCTAAACCCTAAACCCTAAAACCCTAAACCCCAAACCCCCCCTAAACCCTAAACCCTAAAACCCTAAACCCCAAACCCCTCAGACCCTAAACCCTCAAACCCTAAACCTAAGCCCTTCCATCCTAAACCCTAAGCCCGTAAATCCTAAACCCTGAGCCCCTACTTGGAGGTTCAGGGTAGTTTATAAGTGGGGTTATAAGCAGGGTAAGTATACTTGTAACGACTTCTAACCCTACTTATAACTACCCATGAACCTCCAAGTAAGCCCCTAAACCTTAACCCAAACCCTAAGCCCCTAAATGCTCTCCCAGCAGCCGATAGAGCTGTCATGGAAGAGCCATTCCGCATGTAGTGGTGGCTTTGTGCTGCAACTGGAGTAGGCATGGGAGAGTCGTCCTGGAGTGGCTCGGAAAGCTAAGATAGGGGCCTTTATGATGGGAGTATCCTCAGGCTAGGATAGTTTACTAGGATACCCAGTAACCTAAGAATAAAAAGGCCTCTCTTTTTGGTATTGGGTAACTTTATAAGGAACCTAGGACTACAAAAAGGGAATAAGGGTACTACTGGGCATCCTAGTTTATAAGAGAATAGCTATATGGATGGGAAGCATCTGACTCATTATTCAGAGCTCGATGTTAGTTCAGGCTTCGGAGCTTTGTGCACTGGACGCCCTTTTGTACATGCTCAGATTCGCAGAGGTTCAGGTTTCCGGTGAAGCACAAACACAAATAACCCTGTGCAACAGAATACTCTATGTATTTGTGAAGAGTATTAAGGGATTGTAGTACCCTCAAAAACGTCAAAGGTTACCTACAGTACTACTAAGTATGACTCTGTGTGCCGAACATGGATCTGCGCATACGGCTACTACAACCTCGAAAATTCTGGGAGGGCCGCTGCGAGTGGCTTCATCGTCGAACTTGAGTTCAGCTGCCCCATCTACGACTCTGCAGCTGAACCGTCCGCCGTCCTCTTCGAATTTCCATGCCTGCAACACAATGTCTTGGGGGATTCCGAAAATAGGGGTACCCTATTTCGAAAATAGGGGTACCTTATTTAGGGGTCCTTATAATAAGGATCCTGCTACTTGGGGTACTATATTAGGGTCCCCTAGTTTCGGACCCCCCCCCTTCAACTTGCATGCACGGACACGGGCCGTTCATTGTCCTATATGTGTAGACATGGATCATTCAGCGACCATCTTATGTCCCTGGGCTCTGGCTGAGGCTCTTCAGGTTTTCTAGTAGGCCTCATCGTTGTGACTGGAATGAAGCTTCTTGACCTACTTGTCCAGTATCATAGGGAAACTAAAGGCTAACCTTCGGGGTTACATATTTATGTGGAGCATAGCACCCCGAAAATGTTACTAGTTAAAGGTTACAGTACCTATACTGTACTACTACTTGGAGGATCATGGGACTTAGTAAGTAATGTTACAAATACATTAATTGGGGTTATAAGTAGTTATAAGTATAGCTACCCTAATTATAACCCTAGTTACTAAGTCCCATGATCCTTTCAGTATACTGTACTACTAAGCTTAGCAAGAACTTGGCCTTTCGCAGTTCTGCGTTGTTCGGGGCCAGGAGGCCGGTGCACGATATTTTTTGTATGAGACTATCATTCCAGGGTAGTCAAAAATTAAGAAGCCCTGCCATATGGGAGTTTCCGCCCAAATGCGGAACCCTAATCTAATACCCTAAATAGTAGGATCCTCATTATAAGGACCCCCCCCCCCCCCCCCAAATAAGTTAAGGTACCCCTAATTTTCGGAAGCCCTGCCACATAAAGATCCTTGATAGAGACCCAGGGTTTCCTGATCAGGTTCCTACGTTACTGGGTCATGTCGCCAGATGACACATGACATGGTTTAGGGTTTAGGGTTCATCGGCTCTTAGCTGTGTATCTGAGGACCGACATTTAATCAAGTTTTGTGATACTGGCAATCATAATTAGCAGGCGCAGTCACTTGCTAGCAGCAGTGACAATGCAGTGCTGAACACGATCATGGCAGGAACGAATAATACAATGAAAACAACTGCAACGATAAAGGTACTCGCACATGATTGTGCTGGTATCACGGGTGATCGTGTTGATATGTAGCCGAGGTGTCAAGTCAAGGCCCGGGCTTTTTGCAGGACATGGTCCATGCACCCCGGCTTCGAAATGCGATCAGCATAGCGACGATCAGGTTAAGCATACGACGGCTAACCCTCCAACTTGGTTTTGGCACCCTAGGCCCCGAACCACAGCCGAACACCTGGATTTCTATACCTCAAGACCCTTCACCCTCTACCCATAAACTCGAAGACTCCTTCGTGATCAAAGCTGCGGGCCTAAGCCCTAAACCCTACTTGGAGGTGCATGGGTAGTTACAAGTAGGGTTATAAGTCCCTTAATATGAGTCTTAAGTGTAGTCACACTGCTTATAACCCCACTTATAACCACTCAGGAACCTCCAAGATAGGCCCTAAACCCTATACCCTTATAGAATCCCTATAGATCCTTTTAAAGGGACCCTTAAACCAAGTGATCATTCCCAGCCTTGTGCAGCCGAAGCTGGGTCACTGCGCCGTTGCGTAGAGACGGCCGGCGTGCACGATTTTGCAGAATCGCTTCCTGAGAAGAGTGTTTGGGGTTTAGGGGCTTCTGTATGCTAGGGCCTTGCGAAAGAGAGAGGGGCTTTCGGGCATAACTGCATAGCGCCTATGGTATAGTACGAGAATATCACTATTCCGAGCCGATTTTGAGGGCCTCCCAGAGCAAGCTTCAGGGCCACGTGACCCTAAACATAGAAGGTCAAGAGTATCTCGATTCCATAGACCCTTAAAGAATAGAACCTGTAAGACCGGGCCCTTACACCCTGAACCCCCAAAACCCAAAACCCCAAACCCTTTAACCGCAAACCCCTGAACCCCAAAGTGAACCTCTGGGAGTGGGAACTTGGTCTCGGCCCCGGGAGACCTGCCGGGATACTTATACGAAATCAGGACGAAGGGGCCTTAATAATTAGAATAGGGTTTTGGAGGTTTCCTTTTATGATTATAGTATCATATACCCCCAAACCCGATTCTAGTTATTAAGGACCCTGCAGTAATATCTTCAGAAGAGGGTCTGGATAGGGCTTTTTTGGGCTCCTTTACAGTATACTTATACTGATAAGGAGCCCTGAGAATAATATTTATAGTGTACTCATAATGATAAGGAGCCCTAAGAATAATACTTCTAGTAGACTTATTCTTCATAAGGAGCGCTCAGAATGATCTTGATAGTTATTCAGGGCTGGATTTGGATAGTAGAGAAATCTGAGGGCTGAGCCTGCACGTGACCAATCTCCTTCCAAAAGACCAGAATTGGGGTTTAGGGTTTAGGATTTAGGTTTTGGGGTAAGATGCGTCCGAGGGTATTGAGAGGGAGTTAATTCGTGAATCTGACCATCCCTGTCAACAGCGCTCTTCTGTCAGCGGTAACAGTAAACACCGAACCCTAAGCCCTAAACTCATAAACCCTCTGAACCCTAAGCCTTGAGCCCTGAACGATCTTTTTGAGTGGTGTTTGGGTATAACGGCAATACTTAAGGGTCACAGTCCGACAAGATCGGCTTCAGCCGGCTCTTGTTTATCCTGAAACAACGCGAAAGCGACAATCCCTGACGACCGATTAGGGTTTTCTGCTCTCATCGATCCTTTTTACGTCCGCGGGTGAGTTGCAGTTGGAGTTTGCTGTTTCCTGCGCTTCGCCGCTTGCAGAAGTCTTGCTCATTCGGAGTTTCGGGGTGTGAAAACACGAGTTTTCTAGAAAGCTCTTTAGAAACCCTTTCGTAGCCTTTTCGAACCGTTCCAGCAACCCTTCGAACGCTCATAGGAACCTTTATACAATCCTTGGCTCTGCGTTAGACATCAACTTCTTTCCGTCACGCACAGATGCATGGGACATAAGACTCTTGGAAGAGGCCGCAGCTTATGAAACTAACATAGTACGGGGGCTTGAATGCTTGAATTTCTATTGTTATAATACGGTTTTGGGGAGTACGCATATATGGACAACGGAGGAATAGTGTTACTAATTGTTCCGACGCCGAGCCCTTCGGTAGGAAACGCAACCTCCTAGAACCGGTTGCAACCCGTTCCACTGCTTGTAGTTGTTATCTTTCTTCATCTTCCTGTCCATGATGGATTCGTGTTTGTTGGTGTCGGGGAATGTAGAACCGTGAGAATGAGACCCCAGGGAAGTCTTGACGTCCTCAGGGTTCAGCAACTTCTCAGTTGGAATGGTGGCCACGTCCACGATATTGACATGATGTCCAGGCTCTCCTCCAGATTCACTGAGAATACGGCCGTTGGATAATCCCAAATCCTAAACCATGGAAAATCTTCATCAGCAGTGTTCGAAGCCTTCCCAAGCGACTCTGTAGGATGAGTTTGCCCAAGCGACTCTGTAGGATGAGTTTCCGCCATCAGCTGGAACTCCCCCATTCCCTTCCTGCTCCCGCGCCTTTCTCCAAGTCGCCGGTAGCACAAACCTGCAGGGCAGAGCTCTCCGGGTTTAGGCTTCGGGGCTCTAAGGAATCTGGAGAGGAATCACTGCATGCCAAGTGCAAAGGGAGCCCTTATTGGGAAGCATGCGAGCAGTAATGGTCACAGCCGTTCTGGTAGATGTAGTGGCAACAGCAGCGCGAGGAGTAGTACTGGTAGAAGTAGCAGTAGCAGTAGGAGCAGCATCAGCACTGCTTTCTGTGTGCTGGATAATCGATTCATATACAAAAGTTCATCAAGGCTCAAAAACTCTTTTGAAGGCTGGAAACTTCCTTGGGGCTCTGAGTGCGTACCATCCCTCCAGTCTCAATGTGGGAGCTTCCGAAAATGGAGGGGGGGCCTAATATAGTACCCTAAAAAGTAGGATCCTTCTTATAAGGACCCCAAAATAAGGTACCCCTAATTTTCGGAAACCCTCATATACCCCTGCAACATCGGGAGGCCTCATCTCCCGCAGGCAGGCGGCGTATCCTGGCACTGCTCTGATTTCGGATACCAGCACCGGACTGACGACTTGCACAAGCCTCCGATGAGTCTCCGGAGCCCAAAAGCTCATAAGATATGCTACCGATAAGAAATACCAACATTGCCATACCAACGAAGCAGACTGCAGAGTAGGTAGTCGACAGGCATGAACACCACTAGAATTGCCATCACCGCCAGCTTGATCCCGTGGTTCTCACCGTCATGTCAGCAGTCAGAAGTTCGCCGTTGTGACTTGCGACCCGGGTGGGGAAGCATGCCACTCGGCTTTCACAACCCCAAAACCCTATTCTGATTCTATATTTAGGTTCGTACATTCGCCCGTAGACCCGGGGCTCGTGCTGAGGTGGGATGGTATGAGGCCTCCTCAACCGTAAACCATATATAAGTTTACAAACCCTAGACCCGTGAGGAAACGGAAATACGATGAATCCGCATTTCCTGAAGCAGTGCCTTGACGTCCGTTGCTGTACAGCCCGGCACCGTTCACTGATTAGGGGTTCTGAAAGGGACCCACTTGCATGTCATGCAGTTCAGTATTAGGAGAGCCCCACAAAAAGGCCCTTAATTTCCCACAGCCGCTTCGCTCTAGACTCCGATACCGCGAGAATCCCAAACCCAAGATCCCGTCACCCACCCCTAAACCCTAAACCCGAAACCGACCACCCCTAAATCCTAAATAATAAACCCGAAAGCGAACAGCCTGGGGCCGAACCGCATCGACGGGCTAAGACGATCGTCTTTGATGTTCAGGCCTCCAAGCGCCGCCAAAGGCGAAGGGCGGGGGGGGCTCTACTGAGGGGAAGCGGGGGCTTCTCAACTATAAGGGTTCTGTTAAGGGTCCCTTTAAAGGGATCTATAGGGATTCAATAAGGGTATAGGGTTTAGGGCCTACTTGGAGGTTTATGGGCAGTTTCAAGTGGGGTTATAAGTAGGGTAACTCTGTTTATATTTCATATTAGGGGACTTATAACCCTACTTATAACTACCCATGAACCTCCAAGTAGGGATGCTGCTTCTGGTAGCAAGCATGATGAGGAACCTCACAACTTTGAAAAGGCAAGGGAACCACAATGTAGAACAGTCGCCGTTGGGCTTGAGGCTTGCAGCTTGTGCCTCGCAATGACAGTGCTTCGAGAACCCGGTCGTCACGGGAGTGTCACTGCCGCTTCTAAAGCAGAACCTGGCAACTTTGCAGCATCACTTTCCTGGCACAAGGTGCGACGAAATTCATGATATCAGCATCTCCAGCAAAAACTGTAGGGACCTACTAGTTCGAATAGGGTATGTCAAAAGAACACTTTTTATCGCAGGTCCATCCTCTGCTTGAAACCGATACAAATCCCCGTGAACCATAGCGTGGTAGCACTATGGGGTCCTTATGTGCAGAGAAAGAGAATTTGACATGCGTGGCAGGCATGCCCGCCGTACCGTGACTCCCGCTTGGCGTGGTGCAGATTTTCTACAGTCCGGTGCGCATGTTGGCTGCCACTCATGTTTCCTTCCGGCATCATATGCCCCTGTATTTACCGTTGGGCATTCCAAAAACATAGCATGTTTGCATCGCTTCTGGAATCGTGCAGCAGGGAGCCTGCAAAGCAAATTCGTCCCCGAACCCATGATTCGACGGGAGCTTGCTGCGCTGCTGTACAGGCAGCATGAAGAGCACAGACCCTTAAACCCTAAACCCTAAACCCTAAACCCTCCAAACACTCAGGCCTAAGTTTCCACAGCCCTGAAGCCCTGAACCTGGAATGCTAAATGCACGGAGCACCGAGCTTGAAACCCAAAAGCCCTGAAGTCCAAAACCCGAACAGCCCAGGCTTGATATCCCCTCAAGCTCTGAACCCGTGAGCTTCGAACCCAAAATTTCGAAAAAAACGAATATCCCACAGCCCTCACATCCTGAAACTGAACCCTAAACCCTCATCCCTAAACCTTAGATCCTAGACCCTTCCCAAACCGAGACCCTTAAAGAACCTACCTTTTAGTATACCCTAAGGGTCGTAGGCTTTCATGGTCCAAAAACCATTCAGAGTATGGCTTTTCGGACCTAAAACCCTACTATTATTTGGGTACATGGACCCTCTGGGATAGGGTTCCTTACTATGATTTCCTTGTACAGGTCCCAAAGAAGGTAGGTTCTTCAGGGTCCAGGCAACCCCAGAGCCCCTCCGAAGGAACCCCTATAGCACTCTTGAAGGAACTCTTCAAGTACCTTCAAAGGAACCCTTAAGTACCCCTTATGCCAGAAGGTCCAAGTACCCAAATAATAGTAGGGTTTTAGGTCCCAAAATCCATACTCTGAATGGTTTTTGGACCATGAAACCCTACTATATTTGGGCACTTGGATCCTTCGGGCCTAAAGGAACCCAAAGCGGTCGGGACCTGGGCTGTTGATCGTTACTGTCACCGCGCCGGTCTCGTGGACGAGAGGGCCCGGGTTCGGCTCGGACTCCAAGATATCTGGCCGCAGGGCTTACGGCGGTTAATGTAGGGGCCCTCATAATTAGAGTGAGGTTTTGGGGTTGAAGAATTTAGGGTTTCAGAGTTTATGGGATTTATAGGGCGGCTAATGTAGGGACCTTAAGAATTAGAATAAGGTTTGGGGGTATATTATACTACAATTATGAAAAGGAACCCCCAAGATAGTATAGGTGATTGTTTAGAGGGCTTGTGGGCGCTAAGGGCTTTCGAGGGGTTAGGGTTTAGGGGTTCTCTAAGGTATCTGGCCACGGGGTTTAGGCCGGTTAGGGCTCTTAAGGCTTTAGGGTTGAAGAATATTTCGGCTTAAGGGTTGATATTATATACACCCTAAACCCTAAACCCTGTAATAGGGTGTTTTAGCGGCGTAGTGTTTAAGGGTTTCGGGGTTGAGATCTCGCGTTTAGGGGCTGCGGGAGTTCCGAACTGCAGGAGGGATCTTCGCTAAGGCACTGCTTTTTCGAACCCTAAACCCTACACCCCTAAACCCTAAACCCACTTGGTTTAAGGTCCTAGGGTTTAGGAACTGAGTGTCAGGTATGACATGACATAAGCAGCGAATAGATGCCGTGGGGATCCGGTTCCCATTTTCCAGGCAATCATCGCGGGGACCGGCGGTTGTTCCAGAATATCCGACCCTTCAGTATGTTCTTTCTGCTTGCGCGTATGTGTTTGTCTGTGGGTTTTTTGTCGGCTCTACTGCAGGGGCCTTTATAATTAGAAGAAGGTGTGGGAGTATATCATACTGTAATTATAATAAGTGTAATGGGGAACCCCCCCCAAAATCCTCATTCTGACCATTAAGGCCCCTACATTACTTGTTCATGATACCACCTTTGCCATGGTGCCTCTGCTCGTCGGAGCACTGGTTAGTTTGCAGGGGGGCTCATACTGCCATGTGGAGAGTCACCAGCCTTCCGGCAAAAGCTCTTTGCAAGAAGCATGGCCTGTGTCCTGTACATGGGCTGTGTTAACTGAAAGCCTGGCATTCGCATAATGTAGGGCAATGAAGGGGCCTTGACAATTAGAAGAGGGTCTTGGGGCCCAGTATACTATAAATGCTAAATGTAATAAGGAACCCCCCCAAAATAGTATTGGTAACTATGCAGGCCCAAATATTAACTGTCTTCGAAGGCGGCGACTTCAAGCAGGGCCTGGCGGTGGTTTGCAGATGGACTGCAGCCTGCCATTCAAACGGTTTAGGGTTTAGGGTTTTAGGGTTTTAGGGTTTAAGGTTTTAGGGTTTAGGGTTTTAGGGTTTAGGGTTTAGGGTTTAGGGTTAGAGATCATGTGGCCCATTTTGGAGGCCGGATATTGACTCTGACCGCACTAATTGCTATTGCTGCCGCTATACTCGTGCAATACACATCGTTACGAGGTTCTGCCCAACCTACTCCCCACATTGGGTCCCACATCGTTGCTACGATGCTGCGTACTTATTCAACACCTATCTCCAACGTCCCTCACAATCCTGCTGCAAGCCATGCTGCCCCTGACAGTAACATCATGGAGCTCGACATTTACGCCGATAGCTGTGCACGACACACCCGGAGACATACCTGAAATAGGAACAACGACCCGGGGCATCAACATGCAAGGCATGCTGCTGCTAGGTTGAGTGACAAAACATCTGTACTTGGAGGATCATCGGACTTAGTAAGTAAGGTTATAAGTACCTGAATTAAGGTTGTAAGTAGTTATAAATATAGTTACCTTAATTATAACCCTAGTTACTAAGTCCCATGATCTTTTAAGTAAGTCCCAACCCCGGACCAGAAGCCCTTTACTCGAAGCCCTGGACAATAAAGCTGTTTGGTACGGTTGATGATATAAATCCTGCATTATCATAATGACCCTAAACTATGGGAATTATGGTATATTCCTTATTATGGGTAATGCAGGATTTATATCATCAACCGTGCGGCTGCACGGCCCCCCTCTCTTGCCTGGCCAAAAGCTCCACCTGGCAAGATGGGACATGAGGTTTCACACCCCAATCCCTGTAAGGTAACAGCCAGAAAGTTGGAATATGATTATCCTAACCCTTCTACGGTAAATTATAGGGTATCCTCCCATGAAACCATATTCCAACTTTCTGGAGTTCCCTTTAAGTGTCTTTGCGCGTGAATGCATTTCTTCATGTCAAATCTATGTGTACATGTATGTACACACCGGCAAACATAATAGTTGTATATGGTCTTTTTGGTATGTATGTGTACCAAGATTACACGTCTGTGTATGCGCGCGTTTGCGAAATTTGATTCTCTTGCATAATATGTCTTTGGTTCAAACAGCTTTCGGACAAGAACCTTCAGGCCATGGAAGGAGTGCAAAGGTGACCCTGAGCCCGACACAGACACAGACGCTGCCAGCCCTACATGCCCTGAACCCCAACCCGGCGATTGTAGAAACTCTACAGACTATAAACGCCTCCAACCCAAACCCGAGAGTATAGAAACCCTATGAACGCAGTGACTGCAGACTAAGGCCCTAGGGATCTGAATCTGAATCTATACCCTAAGCCCTAAATCCTAAACCCTAAATCCTAAACCCTAAATCCTGAACCCTAAGTCCTAAACCCTACATCCTGAACCCTAAACCCTAAATCCTAAACCCTACATCCTAAACCCTAAAGCCTGAACCCTAAACCCTAAATCCTAAACCTCGATGAAGGCGAGCCTTTGTTTGTGCCAGGACTTCGTCCACCACCTCTTGGATGCCGGCCTGGGCGTTTTTGCGCTTGGGGGCCTTTAAAGGGGTCCTTAAAGGGGCAACTATAAGGGATCTACAAGGGTACTATAGTACAGGAGCCTTGATAATTAGAAGAGGGTTTAGGGGTTTAGGGTTTGGGAATTTAAGGGTCCAGGGGATTTAGGGGGTCTAGGTCAGGGATCTATCCTGAAAGTCTCAGCAGGGTTCTCTATGCGTTTGTGAGGGTTCGACAAGACACGATTTCAGAAAACAAGAGAGCCTAATGTAAGATCTGCTTCCTATCATCAAACAGGACCCGAAATATCTGGTCATTCCAGACTTACCGTTGGTTAGTAGGGAATGGAAGAATGGTAGTAATGGTAGTTATAATTGTACCCCATTCCTCCATTCCCTACTAACCAGCGGTAAGCAGAAGCACCACCGTAGTTCAGGATCTCAGAATCTGGAGTCGCTGCTGGAAGCTCACAGTGCAACAACATCAGTACCCAGCTCGAGCATTATATGTACATATATATATATATATAATGTTTTATTGTGTGTATATACATGTATCATTTATACATATATATATATATATATATGTGTATACAAAGTATCTATTTTTTCTACACAGAAAGAGAAAGAGAGAGATGCCGGAATGATTAGACTATGGTTGGGGGGAGTCTTGTGCTATGCTGTATTGAGGGATCTCTGAAGTGGTGAGATTCCACGTATTCCGATCCATATACTACAGGGCACGGCTCTACATACTCTCCTAAGATGTCTCCCTGTGATGAAGCGGAAGGAAACAATAGGAGTTTTGCCAAGATACCTTGAGATTGAGATCCATCGAAGCCATGTTGAGGCAGGGCTTCTACAACAGAAGCTGCTTTCGATGTTCCTCTCTTGCATCGTTATTACTGTCTGCGCATGCTCGGCAGGACAATGTGACCGGCCCGGGATATCCGTGGAGTGGACTCTTCACTAGAGGAAAACCCAGGCTATCAACCGTGGTTAATGCTTATACTTCTCCCCTACATGTCGTGCTGGAGCCAATAATGGGCCAAGAGTTGAGGCACGGAGTACATCGAACACTCTAGCCTGTCCTAAGCCCTACAGACTAGGCTCTGCAAAACCTGGACGCTGCCGCCTAAACCCAAATAAACCGAAACTGAAGCGGAGAGACCTACCAGAAGGACCCTGCACGGCCACTCGTTCAGACTTCTGCCGCTATAGAATTTCGGGTGCATTTGGGTTTAGGCTTCTAATGCCCCCTTTTCCGTCAGCTGGGATTAGAGTTTAGAGTCGTTTAGGGTCTTGTTTCGGTTAGCAGGACGTCTGCGTGAGTAGTTTTCATCGTGTGCCGGTTCTCCTTCATGAGCACGTGAACGTGTACGACCCTACACGAGACCCCGAAGATATGCTGAGGGATGTTGCTGTCCAGGCAAGGCGTAATTGGAAAACGTATCATAGACTTCACCAAACATACAGTACCGGTTTGTTCTCATTTGTCCCCCAGCTTTGTTGCGCAGCTATCCAGGCTGAGTTGCGTTCTGCCGGGTGTTTCGCCCGATGACTCTTGAAATTTCGCGGACCTCGATGCTAAAGTATGGTATAATATAGTACCGCATAGTATAACATCATATATTCTATCATCTAACTGCTCCTAAACTTAGCTGCCACGTGATGGTGCGGAGCTGATGGGCGGCCACGAGAGATTGCGGGCATCGATTTTCTAGGCATAATATAGGTTCACGCTTGCCTATACTATTTTGGTGGTTCCTTATTATGGCTACAGTATCATAGACTACTAGAATCCTATTCTAGTTATTAAGGCTCCTACTATATTACGGCTTTACCCTGCCCTTGAGACATCCATCATCCTTACCCATAGGCTCCATCGTAGTTCCTTTTTGGGATTACCTTATGGGATTCTAAATATGAACCACAAACAGGAACCACTATGGAGCCTCTAGGTAGCTCGAAGCACAAGTCCTGAGGAACCTCACGCTCCTGTTCAGGAATATACTACTTGGAGGATCATGGGACTTAGTAAGTAAGGATATGAGTACCTTAATTGTGGTTATAAGTAGTTATAAGTATAGTTACCCAAATTATAACCCAAGTTACTTTAAGTACAACGTTTGATGGAAGAAATCCTGCATTACCTCAAGGACCCTAAACTATGGGAATTATGGCATATTCCTTACCATGCGTAATGCAGGATTCATGTCATCATCAACCGTATGACTTACCATAATGGGGATCTATGGTAAAAGAGGGTTTCCCTATTTGCTAATCATAGCAACTTAAACTAAGCTTGGCAGCAAGAACCTAGTCTTGCGCAACGGGCTTTCTTACGGGACCCCGGAGTTTCCGTAGTCCGAACATCTCATCGAAAGTGCAAATTGTGGCGGGTGTCCAAAAGCCTCCCATGAACTGGAACACAGTGCGCATGCTTTCTCTGCCCTCAGTGCACGATCGGAAGGCGTGCCCTCAGAGCACATCGCACGACCGGCAACGGAGCATTCTGGTTGGTGGAGCGAGTCCATTGCCTCGCTTCGTAACCTGGCAAGTCATCCATGATAGTCATATAATAGCTCGGTTTAAGGCTCAGGCTCTAGGGCCACAGTATAGGGGCCTAAATAAGTACCTATACTATTTTGGGGGGTTCCTTATGGTAGTACTTGTATACTGGGCAACCCAAAAAACCCCTCCACCTTATAGACCCCTTTAAAGGAAGCCTATTCGAATTATTAAGGCCCCTATATAAGTCAGGGCTCCCAGGGTTTCGGATACTTAGCATGAGATGTTTAATATAAGGCGCTGGTCTGCGGCAGAAGACACAGAAAATCCGGATTTCTTCTCGAATTCGAATAGCTAAGCCGCTAAACGGCAAAGCCCTGAACCCTACCTATGACGAAGCAGAGTGCTAAACCCTGAACCCCAAAACCCTTCAAGGAGCCTACACCCTCAGTATGACTGCGCGGCACACCTGCGACCAGCCGCGACTTTGGCAGCTGGAAGCCCGCCAGTCCACAGGCGAAGGGAAGGCCTCACAGAAGAGCGCTTGGGATTCAGGGGTCATAGCGAAAATGCATTAAAATGTGCGGCTATGTGCGTGGTGGTGTCGGGGTTCAGGGTTGTGAAGCCGTAGCATGCCCAGCACATATTCCTGACTTCTTGAATTGGGAAGGGCGCTACCCTTTGAGGGTTGGGTCTGTAGAATCTCTGTAATTCCATTGCCGACTCTCAGTTGGTATAGTCTCCATTGCAGGTCCCCTGCTTATAGGATCCATCAGCCGAACGCATCCCTAGGATCCGAACCATAAGAAGTGGTAACCGAAACAGGAACTACAATGGTGACTATAGGTATGAACTACCTACTCCAAGCACCCACAGGAGATGCTGGTATATCGTCAAGCTAGAGACTACCGGCATCCTTGGGATCAAAGACGGACCCAGAATATAGGGGCCTTAATAATTGGAACAAGGTTTTGGGGCCCACGATACTATAATTATAAGAAGGAGCCCTCAAAACAGCATAGGTATTTAGTAAGGCCCCTACAGTATATAATCGCTCTTCCGACAGTCCCGGCATTTCCGACATGTCCCCCCCCGTTTCACTTCTGGCTGTTTGAGTTTTGCATTCCCGGAATGGGCAATGTCGCGTCTGCAAGGCCCAGGGAGTACCCAAAGGCCCCAAAGTAGTTCCTTTTTGGGGTTCATATTCAGAATTCTATAAGGTACTCCCAACAAGGAACCACTATGGGGCCTATGGGTAAAGCTGGCCTAAACCCAAACACCCACAAATCGGTCGAACTTCGACATCATATGAACACTTTCGGGAGTACATGCTGTGATATGGGTGGTTGTCAAAATTGGGGTCCCTTTTTGGGGTACCCTAAATAATAGGTGCCGTATTATATTAGGGACCATAAAAGGGACCATCATTTTGACAACCACCCATATGATGCTATGCTGCATTTTCGTCCGGTCCAGGTGCCTTTCCAAATCTGGAGCTTTGCAGAACGCCCGCGAATGGCCGCCGGCGCGGTAGAGGCATGTCCTAAAGCGCTGTGGCGGCAACCGGTGGGCGAACACGACGGCAACGACGAATGATGCTTTCACAAGCAGAGGAATGGCCAAATGGTCCGTAATGGTTTGAGAGTTCAGGATTCAAGCCTGAAGCCTTAAGTACTCATTCGGTAGAGTTAGCCGAAATCATTCAGATCAGCAGAATGCCAATCATCACCTCCATGCTGATTCTGATGCCGATACCGTTTCTCGAACGTAGTTGCCGTCGTTGTTGCTATCGCCAACCAATAATTCAATAATTCTCACTTATTACCATCGTCATCATCATTAGCAGCATCCTGTTTATGACAAGTTAACCCGGAGCCCTAAACCCTAAACACTGAACCGTGCAATGATTTGTGGTGTTGCCACCGGCTGTAGTGTTCATGATGTTCACCGTGGAGCATACATGCGCGTGCACGCGGTCGTCCAAGCATCTTCCTCCAAATGAACGTGCGGTCATGGCAATCACTATGATAAGGATTATGAGAGCTGATGTGGTGATGTTCAAGCTTACGAAGCAGGTTGAAGACTTCGCGGCGGTGATGATGCTGCTGATGATGAGCACAATTACGACGAGTATTGCGACGCTCCAGCAACGACTATCACAAGTAGAACAGAAACATCAGAATCTGCTTGTTGTTTCTCTCCTAATCATTATTGTTGCTATGATTATTATGTTCTTAATACTTCTTACAAGTTAGTATCATTATTGTCAGTCGTGGAACTCGGCCTTGGATTTCTTTTTGTCAAGTCCGACCCAACAAGCTATAATATCGGAACCTGATTGATTAAGAACCTTGGGTCTTTATCAGTTTTCTTTATATGTATCCTACTATTTTGGGGGTTTGCAGGGCCAGGATTTCTGAAAAAGATTCTCACATTACCCTATGCAGTCCCGGGGAAATTCCTTATGACCCTTTTAAACGAGCTGCTCAGGGTTGGCGTCTGCCGCATTGTCCACCACAAGGCTGTGGAAGCTGCCGAGAGGCCCACAAGACCTGACAGTGAAGTAGTATATATACTGGACCCCAAAGCCCTATTCTAATTATTGAGGCCCCTATATTAGAACATAATTTTGGGGTATATCAGACTATGGTGGATGAGGCCCCTATATTAGAACAGCATTTTGGGGTATATCAGACTATAATGGACTAAGGAGTTCCCAGATCGTGGCTGCTTTGGAGAATCTCCAAGCCAGTCTGGCGCTTTCTAGGATGCCCAGTAACCTGGGGATAAAAAGGGCTCCCTTTTTGGTATTGGGTACCTCAATAAGGAACCGAGGACTACAAAAAGGGAATAAGGGTACTACTGGGCATCCTAGTGTTTGACTTCAGGCACTTGTTTCTGTTAAGTGCAATGGCTTCGCTCGCGCGAAGGCCCACCTGTCTACTTAAAGGATCGTGGGACTTCGTAACTAGGGTTATCATTAGGGTAGCTATATACTTATAACTACCTACTTATAGCCCCAATTGAGGTACTTATAACCTTACTTACTAAGTCCCATGATCCTCCAAGTGGAAGTGTGCACATCGGGAAGCCCACCATGAAGAGGCGACCCGGAAAGCAAAAAGAGAAAGCCAGACTCATTACAGGGTAAAGGGTTTAGGCTAAGTTTAGGGAAGAGAAAGCCAGACTCATTATATACAGGGTATAGGGTTTAGGGCTTGACCCTCAATCTACCCTGGACTAGCCTTTACACTGCTTCTGATATACCCCGACTTAAAGGTACGGGGAGGGTCCTCGATCTAAGGGTACGGCATCTGTCCTGGTAAATGTCAGGGATGCATCCCAACTCCTGTGCCTCGTTGAAGACCAGCCGGGTCTCCATGCCAGGATGCCACTGCGAAACTGAGCAGACTGATAAAGCGGCCCTAATCATTGTTAATGTAGGGGCCTTTGTAGTTACTTATAACGCTTCCATTACAGCATACTGGGCCCAAAACCCCATTCTAATTATTAAAGCCCTTTATTAGACTAGCATTCTGGGGTATATCAGACGATAATGGACATTGGGCACCCTCAGGGGTACCATTACTGATCATCAAGGCCCTCATACAAGTTGTGTCGCACGCCGCAACTCCTCTTGGAATCTTTTCTATGGTTGCTATTGCTATTACATTCATCATGTCGATAGTACTACTTACGGTTTTGACAATACGAGTTGAGTATCAGCGGTATTTCTCAACTTATCTACAGTGTCGGGAAGATCTTATCGGACGTACAGCAGCCTTTACAGGACGCTTAGAGGAGCCCTTCACAGCCGACCCCCAAGCTGCATGTACCAAAGTCTTACTTTGGCCTTAAAGTAGTTCCTACAGTATATGGGTGGTTGTCAAAATTAGGTCCCTTTTTGGGTACCTATTATAATACGGCACCTAATGTTTATGGTACCCAAAAAGGGGCCCTAATTTTGACAACCACCCATATACTAGTGGATACATGGACCCTGGGAGTATCAGTAAAGTAGAAACGCCCTCGTCCCCAGTATCGCAGGAAAACTAAAGGTTATCCTGCGGGATAATACAGGGATTCTAGAACCCGAAGAAGGTTGCATGTCTTGGCCCTTTCTGGAAGGTTAGCTACTGTCCTACTAAGCAAACAACAACCCTAGCCACCTGGATCGGGATGCTTATGCAGACGACGACAATCTGAGCGTACTAGAGGTCAACGTTGCAGATGGCAAAGCAGCGAGAAGTTGACACATGATGGGAACAATAATAATGACGAGGATAGCGTCAACCAGTGGTTGTATGTGGCTGTGGTCATCATACAAAACTACGATAGCAGAAGCAGTCACATGATGAGCATGTTGAATATCATGAAAACATCACCAATCCTATATGGTCTTGCTTTGTATTCCTTCCATCCTTCAGTTGATATTTTATCTTAAGCTTCCAAGCGGCAGTACTGGGAAGGCCACAAGATTGGACAGGTTCGCTGCTGCCGCGGCCAAAGCACTGTCACATCCCACCTCGCATCCGACAGTTTGTACGGCGAGTGGGCAACATGTTAACCCTAAGCCCTAAGCCACTCCAAATCCAGCGAACCAACCAGCCCATCTGACCAGCGGCAGCAGTTTGTGCCTCCAGCGCGAATTGCACGGAGACAGCTGGGATAGGGCAGCAAAGGGCCATCACGCAAACCGTCTGAACCAGGGACGCAGCACCTGGTTGGCTGAACTTCGCTTAGGGTTCCTAAACACGGGCAAAGTTTCCCCCACAAAACCCCAGCATTGAGCGAATCTGCTCCCTTTAGGCGTTCGCGACCAAGCCACTCTTCATGAAACCCGCTACTGTAGAACCTCTCTTGACAAGCACATCCCCGATACCTCCAGCTGGTGCTGGCCGCGTGACATGACGGCCCTTACAGAATCGGGGTCAGCATTAATCTTGCTTGTCATTTATCCCGCTCTGGAAGAGCCGGCGAACCCAGCCGCTGTCCCAGCACGGCGGTGCCAGCTGCCGCAGCAAAGCCCAAAGCACAGCGCAGAGACAGGAGCTCTGCCAGCTGTCTCCGCTGGTCCTTTTCGAACAGTTATACATTGTATGCATGTGTACATACATATGATATAGGAAGTATGATGTATGCAGCGTGACGAATACATGTACACGCCTACCTACCTACCTACTTACATACATGCATACCTACATATAGACATCCATACATACATTACATATATTACATACACTACATTGATACACACATTACTTACATTACACACGTACCATGCATACACGCATACAAGCATACGTTGCATAAGTGCATGCATGCATACATACATGCATACGTACATGCGTACATTGGTACATACATACATAAACACATCCATACATACATACGTACATACACAGGAATATGAATATGATCCCCGGTCCCAGGCTGCTACCGCCCACCCCACCCCAACCACTGCTGGCCCCCTGACCTCTTTCCCCCCCCCCTCTCCCAGTGCTCTCTGCGACAAGAGCCACGGGGATCGAGCCCGCAGAGTCAAACAACAAACACCTTACCGAACCTTACGCCCTAAACTTTAGAAGGGGCCCCCACCCTGTAATAGTGGTAAAATAGGAATATAGTAGGGCCCTAATATATCCCTTATAGTCACTATTACAGGGTGGGGGCCCCTTCTAAAACCAAACCTTTGAACCCTAAAACCCCCGAACCCGCCAACCCGTAAACCCAAAGACCGCAAAACAGACCACAACACCCAAGGCCACTGACCTCCCAAGACGCTGAACCCTAAACCAGGTGTTTCTTTAGGGAACTTAATTGAAATTATCACAAGTATGGACCTATCGCAGTAATAGGGTTTCTTATTGCTGGCACTTTAGATTGAATTCCGCACCGAGAACCCAAACCCCAAACCCTGAACTCCCAAAACCCACTAAGACACCTGAACTCCCTAAACCCACACATCCCCCCAAACGCCGTAAACCCCCCCAAAAGCCCTGTAATCGGGCCTTGGGAAGCCGCAGCTCCAGGAGGATGCCCAAAGCCATCATCACGAGAACCTCTGGGCAAAGAGCGGCTTAGGCTTCAGGGTCTAGGTTTAGGATTTAGGGGTTTAGGGGTTTAGGGCTTAGGGTTTAGGGTTTAGGCGGCTTAGGGTGCAGGGGGTTTAAGGTTTAGAGTTTAGGGGGTTTAGAGTTTCAAGGTTCGAGTTTAAGCAACTTAGGGTGTAGGGGGGGGGGGGGGGTGTAGGGGGTTTAGAAGTTAGGGCTTAGGTTAGGGTTTAGGGTTTAGGCCTGAGGGTTTAGGGAAACAGGACTTTTTCAGGTTCTCGGATGTTTTAGGGTTTGCCGTGTGCTGTGGGGACGAATGTGCGTAGGGCATCTGGAGGTTTAAGGGTTCAAGGTTTGTCTTGGTCAAGGGTGTGGGTGGTGCTGGGGGCTGGGATTTGGCTTGTTCAGGATGAGAGCCAGTAAGAATTATACGCTGATTTAACGAAATCTTCAAAAGTATAGGGGTTTGGGAGTTTCGGGCTCAGGGGCTTTAGTGGTTTAAAGCTTAAGGTAAGGGCTACGCGTTTATGGAAGATTTAGGGTTTCTCGAGCGTTTTGCGAGGTCTTTGCACTGGAGGGCTTGAGGTTCGAGGTTTCGCAAAGGCTGTGAGTAGTTGGTGCAGCCCGCGGTTTAGGGCTTAGGATTTTTGGGTGTAGGGTTTAAGATTTTAAGGGGGGGGGGTACTGGTAGTGGTTTTGGGTTTTTGGGGGCTTCGTCAAGCTATGTGTGGGTGGGTACGGATTTGAGGACTCGACATTTACAAACACATATCTACACAACAACTGGGATCGCCATAAACTCTGAAACCCTAAATCCGCTTTGTGCGTTTGTCCTTGTTTGCGTGGCCCAGCTCGGCCAAGGTGTCGTCCACCAATGATGGCATGGGCAAATCAAGCCGCCGCAGAGTGAGGCCAACCTGGGCTGGGTGGGTTTTATGTTGGTGGCCAAATATGAACTTGGAGGATCATGGGACTTAGTAAGTAAGGTTGTAAGTAGCTTAATTGGGGTTATAAGTAGTTATAAGTTCAGTTACCCTAATAATGACCCTAGTTACTTACTAAGTCCCATGATCCTTTAAGAAAGGGCTTTAGTGTTTGTCGTGCGATCCGACTGTCATGCTTCAACCTGTTGGGACCGGCAGGGAACACCATGACCAGTTTCCCAGACCTCTTTTGCATTCGTGTCCGAAACCCCAAACCTTGAAACTTACTCCCTAACTGGGTTTAGGGTTTAGGGTTACTAACTAACCCCGAACACTTCGGCCAATCTCGCTTCCCAGATTTGCCCCACATCTCTGAGCTCCAAACAACTTGGGAAAATAACTCCAACCCCGAACCTCCAAACCCCAAACCTTGAAATCTCAAATTCCAAACCCCGAAACCACCCAATTGTATTGCCATCAGCAAAGGAATCCGGCAGAAGCCTAACCGGCCCCTCTCTCAAGAAAACCAAAGTCTCCAACACCCAAAGTGTAATCCTTGTAGAACTTGGAGGATCTTAGTATGTGAGATTATAAGTACCTTACTTGGGGTTATAAGTAGTTATAAGTTCAGTTACCCTAATTATAACCCTTGTTACTAAGTCCCATGATCCTTTAAGAACCCTTGGGGCAACCCTCACAGTAACCCCAAAAGGAGTTCTGTAATCCGTGAAACAACGCTTACAGGAACCCCAAAGAAACTACATCAGCCTTAGAGAACCCTTAGAGCAGCCCTAATTGGAACCGAACAGCAATCCTTCTAGAAAACCCGAAACTCCTGAAATCTGAAACCCTAAAACCCCTAAACCCTGAATCCTAAGCCCTGAACCCCTAAAGCAGCCCTCATAGGAACCCTGAAACCCTAAACTCTAGGCTGTTCAGTAATCCACTGGGAAAAAGTAAATACTTTTTTAGGCTTCTTATTTTATTATAGGAACCCAGAAACCTGAAAGTAAAAATTTGTGGCTCTCTTAAAAGGGACCTTATTGAGAGGGTCTATATCCCCGAAGGTCCCCCTAATCCGAACTCCCACTTTCCCCCTAAGCCCTAAACCCTAAATCCAAGGAGCCCAAATTGCCACCAGGGTAGGAGCTTTCAAGAGCTGGAGGCCAGCGGTGCGCAGAAGCCGGGCCCCTCCCGTCCGGCTTTAGGGTTTAGAAGTTATAGGCTTTAGAGTTTTAGGGTTTAGGGCTTGCAGGCTTTAGGGTTTAGGGCTTGTAGGCTTTAGGGTTTAGGGTTTCAGGGGGTTTGGGGCTTAGAGTTTAGGGCTTATAGGCTTTAAGGGTTCAGGGTTTAGGGTTCTTTTCTGGGTTTTTGTGCCTGCTCAACAGGGCTTACGACACACTTAAAGCACTTTCCCAACCTATTCCCAACAGGATTTATGAGGTTGTTTGTAGGACATGCATATATATATATATATATATATATACAAAAATATGTATATATATATAATATATTAAAGGTTTGGTTGTATGATATGTGTTGCTTTCTAGGGTGGTCAAGGCCTCACAAGCCGTCCCTGAAGCTGCCTACATGCGCTAGGAAGGTTGGTTTAGGGTTAAGAGTTTAGGATTTCTACAAGGTTGTTGAATGATTTGGGGCCATCGGATCTTTTGGGCTTGTTGAGTTACTTAGAGGATCATGGGACTTAGTAAGTAAGGTTATCAGTACCTTAACAGAAGGGTCGATCCTGGGGCCTGCGTTTGTGTATAAGGAGTTTTTGAAGTTACGTAGGCCTTTGGATCGGGCTCGTGATGCTTACTTGCTGCCTTGTCATCTGTATCGCCTTGTCAAGGATTCTTGTCCCCCTTGTCATGGATTATTGTCCCCCACCCCCCTTTACTGTGTTTACCTCCCCCCCCCCCCCCCCCCCCCCCCCCCCCCCCCCCCTCACCACCAGCACGTTCACCACAAGGTACAACCGCCGACCAATCCACCATCCGCCCGAGACGCGCGCAGCCATTCCCAATTGACGCCAACCCTCAAGTCTTAAGTGCTGGTCACAAAACTTTTTCTTAATGAAGGAGGAAAGTGTGGAATTAATGTGAGATACCCCAAGACCTGGTTGGATAAATTGAAATCAATAAACACTGGTATTTGCGGTGATTTCTGCTTGTCTTTCTATGAACACTTTCACGGGTTGTTTATAAATACCGGGCCTTGCTTATAAACTTGCGGGTTGTTTGTAAACATGTGGGTCGTTTAAGGGCAACAGAAATCGGGCCCGTGTGTTTCTCTTTTGTGTATACAGAGATAAACGCACTGCAGCAGCGTGCGGCTGATACGTCCAGGCTCATCGAGTGAAACCACAAGATGTTTGTGTTTAGTATTTCAACTGTACAAAGTCTCTTGTAAGGCTATGTGTGGGGATGGAGAGCGTGCTACGGCCTGGACCAAACCGGTTTGAGGAACTATAGGAGGACGATCCGTTATGGCTTGGAACCGACCCGGTATCCAGTGCAGCATTTTTCACTAATCCAAATGATGTTGATCCAAATACTGGCTATTTCGAAGGGGTACGGGGTACCTTATGAACAAGGGTATCGGAAGAAGCCAGAATCGGATAAGCATCAACACAAGTAGGATTCCAGTCTAGGACAGCATCCAGATCTTCATCGATTACAGTTTGTCTTTGGTAGTCTTTTATACAGGTGCATAGGCTGAACCCGCTCACATCTTTACTTTGCTTCACCTCGCAAAAACAAGGGCCCTTATGTGCATCCACATTTCGTTATCCCTATGCCAATGCAATTCGACAGCTAATTAGGCTGAATCTCTACATTGGTGTTTCAAACACTGTTACCAACAGCGGTGTTGGCTAAGCTTGCTTTGGGTAGACAGTCCAGAGTCTTAAAGGCCCGATTATCAGAGCTGCATAGAGAAACTGTCGAGCTTATGTAGCCTACCTCAAGACGTTCTTTAGAGAGTCTTGAATTCATCGATATTTACAGCGTTTTCTGCTTGTAAGATCTGCTACACAAGAACCCAGATTAAGGGGCTCGACCTACACACTGGTGTGGAGCCTGTTGGAGAGCGATTTTGCACAGCTCGAATAAGCTGTTCCGAAAAACACTTGTGATGCTTGCTTTGTGGTATGTGCTTAACGCGACACAAAACACAAGCTACTGCTTTGGAGCCATTAACGTTGAAACCCGATAGAAAGCACTGAAACCAAACCCAGGCCCCACAGTCGACCGCTCTCTACCTTAACTGGGATTATAAGTAATTAATTATAAGTATAGTTACCTTTAAAAATTATAACCCTAGTTACTAAGTCCCATGATCCTTTAAGTAGAAGGATTAAGAGGTGGGGTTAAGGGTCAAGAGTTCAGGGTTCAGGGTTCAAGCTTTGGGTTCATGTTTTAGGCTTAGGGGATATCGGGACTTGGCACTCTGATGTTGAGGCCTTTCAAAAGGGATATCCTTGATGTTGCCGATGCGACTGCAACATACTGTTTATAAAAGCATAATTCCTAAGGAGACTATAGATCAGATTGGGGTCATCGGTAAGTTCACTCCCTCTTTTCTCTTTTCGTTCTTGTATTCGTTCATGTTGGCCCGTTACGACGGAGGTGCGGCCACTGACGCTGATCTCTAGACCCTACCTCAACCCATGCCCACGAAGACGAGAATGGTCTTCGCTGGTGTCTTTCAACTGTACCACCACTGCGGCCAGTCATGTCACATTAGGACATTTGCTGTTGCTTCTGTTCTTTCTGTGGATGCCTCTTGGTCTTGTTGATGCCAGGGTTCTGTTATGACTGCCGTTGGAATTAAGCCTTGCCAATCGCGTCATCCTTTCAATCGCCTTTGTTGTGGCTGTTGCTGCTATCGCGACTTTTGCCACTGCCATTGGCTTTCTTACTCGCGCGACTAGCCTTACCAATTGCATGGTTGCTGGTGTTGCCGCTGCTCTCGTTGTTGCTGCTTTTTGTTGTCGTTGTCGATGTCGTTGTTGTTGTTGTTGCTGCAGCTGTTGTTGTTGCTGCTGTGATTCTTATATATGCTCTGATTGTTTGTCTCTGTATCGCTCCATGTTTCGTGGTGGTGGAAAGACACCCGGGACAAAGCTTTAGCACAAGCAGCTGCAACGACAGATGGACCAACGAAAAGAAAGGACACCTGCCGTCGCCGCCACCAAGACCACCACCACCCACACACCATCACACACCCGCGGCCGCAGCCGCGGCCCACCCACACCCAGACCCACAGCACCCGCACGACCACCAGCACCAACGATTAGAAGAATTACGACCCCGCATCAACAGAGATGCAACAACAGCAACAGGATAGGGTGGCTGTCTGTGGTATGTCGGAAGTAGCCGATAACTGTCGAAGTCGTAGGTAATGCCAGAGCCCGGCCGCCGAGCGTGCACCGGTCTTCTTCCATGCCCTTTTTGGCATCACTCGCCCGCCAGATGGCCCGGGCCCGTACCCGCGAGTGCGCTTGCAAGAATGCCGGATATATAGGGGCCTTAATAATTAGAATAGGGTTTTGGGGGCGCATTATACTATAACTATAATAAGGAACCCAAAATAGTATAGGTAATTAAGGCCCCTATAGTATCGTGAAACTTCTGGTGGACCACGACCGTTTTGTCGGCGACTGGCTCTGACGTCAGCCCGTTGCGGGGAAAGGCCTCGTCGCTCTAAAAGCTATGGGTGCAGTGCAGCGGTTCGCGCCTGCAAATTTTCCATCAGCTATATGCTTACTTGAAGCCATGTCTCTCAAGCTTTACACGGTGAACGTTTTGAAAGTGAAAGTCAGGTGCAAGAAACAACATGATGCCGCCTGAACAGGTCGGGCTTTGAGTTTCAGGCAGATTCTTTCAGTTGTCTTTCCTATACCCCCCTTAAAACCATAATACAAACAATATCTTTAATATTCTCTTGGGCTTTATATGAACAAAAATAAAAAAGTCTGAAAGAGACCATAGTTGGCCAGGGATGGACGACGATCATTAGAAGAAGAACTGTTCTATTGCGTAAAATGGTCTCGGTGACAGCGGCTGCTGCTCTCGGTCCAAACGAAACAAACAAGACACGTAGCTAAACTAGTAAAGAAGTGCAACGAAGTGCTCAGAGAAGTCCAGAAAGACTAACCAGCTACTTGTAGGCTGCAGATCCTTTACTTACTCGGGTTGCAAGCCAATTGGATCCAGCCTGATGGCCTCTCTTGGGCCAAGCCGTCAAAGACCGCACGATTGTATGCGAAGTTCACGATCATGTTCCTGAGGCGTCAGTTTGGGGCCTTCCGAAAGAAGGGTACCCTAATGTAGTACCCTAAATCGTAGGATCCTTGTTATAAGGACCCCACATAAGGTACACCTAATTTTGGGCAACTCCCACTTTCGCTATCTCATAATTATAAGTTGAGCCAGACCAGTCAATTCCGCGACAAGCAGCAGCCAAATCCAGCTTTTTGACATGGGCGTTCGGCAAGTCTACTGTAAAGACCCAAGCGCTGTACAGGCCAGTATTGCACGGCAACTATCCATCGTCACTCTCATCGGAGTCTTGAAGAAGATCACACCCCAAATCTAACTACGACAGGCGCTTAGAGTTCAGGAGTTGAGTGGGAAAAGTTGCGACGCAACGCTGGCACACGCCCTCGCAAGGCACCTCTATGATACGTCTCGCCTAAGAATCACTTGAAGTGATATGCCAGACGAAGTCATGTCGGTCCTGCGACAAAAATAGATTAGCATGCGCGGGCACATGCAAAAAAACCTGCGATGCCTGCAAAAGAGAATCATTCATTGGCTTCCCACGCTCTCCAAACCTTCCCGGTGCCTGCATCAGCAAGCCCCCAGCGAATGACCCGGCCCACTTCCGCAATTCGCTGCATGCTGTCCATAGCACTCCAGGATGCCAGCAGGCCGGACTGTGGATCAAAAATCAATGACTGTAGCTCCGTGTTGAAGTGATCGACATCCGTGCTGCTTCGGATCTTGTCAAGGATGAGTTCTTTGTCTGTTTCGGAGGATGCCCGCATTCTCCGAACATCCAAGCTTTCCAAGGCACCTGCACGTTGCATCATAGTTGCTCTGGATGCAACTTTCAGCGCCATGGGCATTCGTAAACGCTTGGCTTCAGCCATTTCGGCGACACACCAGGCACGGTTGAAAAGGTCAAAAGATTCGTCTGCGGCAATTACTTGCCTGCAGCCTCCTGCCGCTGCGAGGTGATACATCACGTCATCAAACTTGTTTATCTCAGATGAAACACTTCTGCCATCTGGGTCAGAGATATTCACACTGCTGCAGTTACAAACCGGATGGAGCTCGCTTGTAAGTGGGTCGCGGTCGCCGGGATTTGTGTGGCATATGCTTTTGTGCTGGTTCACCGCAAAAGCGCAGACCCAATACGTGCCGTCCAGGCGGTCGCTTTCCGAGAGGATCTTGCCTAGACCCAAGAGTAACCTAGGAATAAAACGGGTGTCCTTTTTGGTTTAAAGGGGCTTTTAATAAGGAACCTGAACCCCTTAAACAGGGAATAAGGGCCTACTCCAGGTCCTAGTTGCGAAGGAACTCGGAGTCTTCTTCCAGCAGCTTCGTGGCCAAGTGGAAGCTGCATTCCTGAAGGGCATCCGAGACGATCGCAGCAAGCAAGTCCTTGTACAAGTTGCTCCAATTGTGCGTCACCATAATGGTGGCTCTTTGAGCCCCATCTCTGTTCAGACGAGAAGCTGCGAATGCGCAGGCTTCTCCAGCTGTGAGAGGGATGATCGCCCTGCGAACCACATCTCTGGTCTTGTGCTCCTTCGTCGCATACCTCCAGTCCTTACTACCCCAACAGGCCACAGACATAAAAGGTTAAACTTTCCGATTCCTACTAAACTGCAAGAACCCGAAAAATTTGGGAGTTTCCGAAAATAGGGCACCCTAATATAGTACCCCTAATACTCGGAAACTCCCATTTGAAGCTTGGGTATTGGGGATCGAAGAGTCTGGCATGGACGGGAGATCCTGTTGATAGAACTGCAAAAGGCTGCGCAAGGTCATGCCCCTCAGAGAGAGCTCCTCAACTTTTGCCTTCCAAGGCAGACTCATGTCACCTAGCAGCTCGTGGTTGGGATTGAAATAAAACTGTAGATTTCTTGAAAAAATTTATTGAGTTTAATTTAAGGCAGATAAGAAATAATTCTTATTGAGAGTAAGTACCCATAAACATGAAAAAATGACCAACTATGAGAAAGTCACGCTCCTTTGCAGGCACTGCACTGGACTTTGCGGGACATAACCGGCAGCATGCTTGCTTCGAGTTCTTGCAAAATGCTGAACCATGCATTTGTGTGTTTTGACTGTCTGCTTTTGTCACCCTGTGGCTTCCGGACATGAGCAGCAATAGGACGGCTTTCACGAGCTCCCGCCAGGCAGTGACAATCGTGAACTCTGCTGAAAATGCCACAACGGAGATTCGGATCAGAAAGTAAAGGAACACAAATGTCAGTTGTAGCATCGTAGTACGCCGGGCCAATCTTAAGGAAGACCTTGCGGTGTTGTTCAACCCTTCTCCACTCCGCGAGATCCTGCGTAGCTGGAAGATGGATCGGGTCAGTGCACGGATTGTCATGATGATCACTAAATTGGTGTTCAGCTCACCAAAGACGAGGAGGAAGTCTTTCAAGAACGCGCTTGGCACGACAAGTAAAGTGCCAAGCACCCAGGGTTGCACCCAGACGAGCTTTCGCACGAAGCCGCTGCAGTGTTTCTGATTCGACGATTTCTCCAAAAGGCCTAGAAGTGAAGATATGAGCACAAGCATCCAACAATGTCCAGCTAAATTGAGCACGGCCGCGATGCGGATGACTGCGATAGCAAGGCTCGTCTCAGGACGGCATTCTGAGATCAAGCAGGGTGCTTCCAACACGAGCGCAACCCAGCTGACGACAGTGCAGCCACATGCTGACCTGGCATAGGATGAACAGCCTGCTTTTTTGCAGAGAAAGGCGACCACACAACCAACTCCAAGGATTGGCAACATCAGTCCGGCGAGCCAGACCGTGTCTGAACGCGGGCGTCGGAGTTCAGTGTCTCTGGCCTTGCTTATTAGCACAGCCAAAGACGTGGCGTGCACAAGGAAAACCACAAAGAATGATCCAGGAAGCCATCGGTGCGAAAGTGGGGATTTCATCATCTACTGGAAGGGATGACATTGCTGCGGCCAAAATGGCTATATCCAAACCCTGCCGTGATCTAGAAGTACTGCAGCGCATCAACAGTATATGCACCCTGGGTTCCTCCAAACATGCAAACACCCTGTGGCGATGATGAGCACACCGGCATCGTCGCTTGGCAAATTCATACATTACAATCCACCGGATGAAACGAAAACTGCCGCTGGCAGTTCTGCTTTGCGCTTGACTGCAGCATTTCGATGCATAGGTTTCGGGATTTGGCTTGGGAGGTGGTCAGGGTATATGGGATATGGTGGGAAGTCTATGTTGCGACAAGGTCATACAGCTGCAAAAGTGTGCGGCAGAGCTCCACGGGGTGGTGGCGATATGAACTGGAAATGATCCTTGCTAGCTCTTCCTGTACTCAACTCAGTGTCACTGTGGCAAGTCGGTGCTGCGAAATGCTACGAACACCGGTGGTTCCGGCAGGTCTGCCCCCTTCTCGTAAACTCGAAACCCCCAAACCCCAAACCCCCCCTTTCAAGCAGATTCTCTCAGTTGTCTTTCCTATACCCCCCTTAGAACCATAATACAAATAATAATATTGAATTTTCTCTTGGGTTTGATATGAACAAAAATACAAATTAATCCTTGAGGAGACCATAGTTGCTCAGCTGCTGCTCTCGGTCCAAGCGAAACAAACAAGACACGTAGCTACACTAGCAAAGCAGTGAAACCGGGTTTAGGGTTTAGGGCCAACTGCTCAGAGAAGTCCAGAAAGACTAACCAGCTTGTAGGCTGCAGATCCTTTACTTACTCGGGGTTGCAAGCCATTTGGATCCAGCCTGATGGCTTCTCTTGGGCCAAGCCGTCAAAGACCGCACGATTGTATGCGAAGTTCACGATCATGTTTGTCAATTTGGGGGTTTCCGAAAGAAGGGGACCCTAATACAGCACCCTAAATAGTAGGATCCTTGTTTTCAGGACCCCAAATAAGGTACCCCTAATTCTCGGCAACTGCCATTTAGGCCTTAGGGCGTAAGGAGTCTGAGGGGCCAAGCTTTGTAGTTAACCAGCAGCTGGCCCTTTCGCTACTTGCAGGTTCATGGGCAGGTATAAGTAGGGTTATAAGTCCCCTAAAAGGAGTTATAAGTATAGTTACCCAAGTTATAACCCCACTTATAACTACCCATGAACCTCCAAGTATCTCATAAGTTGAGCCAGACCTGTCAATTTCGCGACAAGCAGCAGCCAAATCCAGTTTTCTTTGGCATGGGCGTTCGGCAAGTCTACTGAAAGACCCCAGCGCTGTACAGGCCAGTATTGCACGGCAAGTATCCATCGTCACTCTCATCCGTGTCTTGAAGAAGATCACACCCCAAACCTAGCTACGACAGCCGCTTAGAGTTCAGGAGTTAAGTGGAAAAAGTTGCGATGCAGCACTGGCACACGCCCTCGCACGGCACCTCTATGATGCGTCTCGCCTAAGAATCACTTGAAGTGATATGCCAGACGAAGTCAAGTCGGTCTTGCGACAAAAACAGATCAGCATGCGCGGGCAGCATGCAAAAAAACATTAAAAACTTCGAACGGGCCACCCTGGGAGTGCGCTTTCTGCGTGTTTTACGTGCTCCCAGACACCAAATACAGTTAGGAGTCACGAAAACTGTACAACCTTTGCAGACGCCCACAACAAACAGTCAAATATATTCCGAAAAACACCACGAAAACCAAAAACACCAAAAACACCAAAGACAACAAAGACACCAAAGAAACAAAACAAACAACAAAAACAAAGAAACCGAAGACACCAAACCAACAAACAAAGACCAATTCCATGGGATTCATAGATTTGGTGCTCTGTGGCTGGAGAGTCCCGGAATATAGTTTTTTTTCTTTTGGTGTTTTTTGGTTCTCTCGCAATTTCCCTGGTCGCGTTGCTGGTTTCCCGCGTGCTGCTTCCTGCGCGCAGGGAGCCTGCGTGATCAAGAGACTAACAATTGCATGTTTCCGTGTTGTCGGCTACTGTACTACGCGTTGCAATGTCGGCTGTACCATTCCATTGGTAATTATAGATCCCAAGCCTTAGCCTTAGCTGTTTCTAGCACATAT